TGATGTTAAACTAACTCGATCATGTGTTGGAATTACAGTGAAACTTATTGTTAAAATTTATTTTTTAACGCTATATTGTTAGAGGCAGTTCAATTTTCTAACCCGGAAATCTCATAGAATGGAAAAAAATCGAATTTGGTATCCACGGGCAGGTATTAACACTAAAAATTCGCGTATAAAACTTCAAATTCTTTACCTAGAATCATCCAAAATAAAAGAACACAAATTTTAAAAGCAGTTTTTTTTTTATGCGACCACCAGAAGTAACAAACAACTTTGTTGTCTACGAAATTATAGCAATATTTGTGATTATAAAAAAACGAAGAAATTCTGAAAGAACATTGACAACGAAACTGATTTCCCGCTCAAAGTGTATTATTTTCTCGACGTTTTTTTATTCATAGGGTATTTGACACATTGGAAAATGTGATAAAACATGCCATAACCAACTTTTTTTTAAGATTATATCACCATATATTCTAAATCTGGAGATATCAGAACAATGAAACTAAAACAAATCGTTTCCTTTTCGAAATTTCAGAGGACTTCAAGATTTAAAATCCTCGGAAATCACAAGCACAATTCGACTACCAAAATTTCACTAGAAAACAGATTTGTAGTTTGAATTTGAGCGTTTTTTAATGTTCTTGTGCCAATTAGACATCTGACAACTAAGAAAATCTTCGTACCATAATTTGCTTATACGGTAAAATCAACAATACTGAAAATGTTCATTTAAAAATGTGTGTTTATTTTATTTTTTTGTAATGAATATTTTTAATCCTACTGGTCCCTCGTGGTGCCGCTACAAGTCCCCACAAACCAAAAATATTTATTGCTCGCTGTCATATAAATTTTTGTCCGCCATCATTTTTCCATTGGATTGAAAATCCCAAAGCCGACATCGATTATCTCATCTCTGACATGATGACCCGGAACAAAACCACAATAGAAAACATAAAAGCCATTTACAAGCAACAACAAAGTGCTTCACACAAGAAACATAACATTAATGAAATATAATACACACATGTAAATATGTAAATAAATTAAAGTAAGAGGGGGGCTACAAGCCCCCTGCCATATAACATCCGTACACATGTTTGACATCCATAGCTCCATCTTTTTACGACTATTTACACATCGCCGCGAATTCTATCCTTCGATTAAATTTCCCTATAAGGGCACTTACCGTATCCTGGCAGGATCATTTAACTCCTTAAACAATACGACCGCGTGTGCTATCAGGTGTGCCCATAGTGCACGTGCTCACCACACAAATGTCTATTTCCGGCGCTGGTGTCGAATTACAAGGTACAATTTACCCTCTTAACGATCAAACCCTGCTAACATCCGATTTGCTTGGGTGTAAAACGTGCCCCAGCTTTGTCCGGGATTAAATTACAATAAAATTGTTGCATTTTTGCGGTTGCTTTTAGACGTAACATTTTCGCACGGATTTATGCGGTATTAAGTAATTATGGAGTTAATTACGTTGCGAAGATTGGCAGCAATGCAGACGACGCCTGTAATTCCCCCCCAAGTAATGAGGATATATCTCTGGACTAGTACTAGACAGTGTGTAATTAAAGCAAATGTAACGGGCTCGATAGAATTACGGCAGATTACGTGTAGTCTGTCGGGAGTGTTCATGGAAAAATGTCCCATTTACAAGGTCAATTATAATACCATTAGGTTTCTTGAACTCCTTAATAATTTTACGGCGGCTTGCGGTTTTTGAGAGATAAATATTTGAATAATTGTGATGTGACACGAATGTCCATTTGATGTCGCGTGATAGCTCAGTTTATGTCCGAAATGTGGACAAGAATTTTTATGTACCAGAATTTGATGTATGGTTTCAGTTGGAGTATGGTTCCGTTAACGAGATGGCGCTTGTTAAAATCCAAATTGGCAAAAGAATGCTGCTTTAACCAATTATTCCTCCACCAAAAAACCTATTATAGATGGCACAGCCAATTTATAAGGTCCACAAACCCACGTGATTATGGCGTCCTGCCTAGGCACTTTGTACCTGTCAAATTATTATTTACACACACAGCATTGTCGCCTATAAATTACCACATATTAGTAAAATCCTCGCATCTATCACATCGTCCAAGTAATCCCGTCATCACCGAATTATCTTTTGGCAATTTTCGTCAAATTTATCATTTTCATTGCACACGTTTTGCTCCGTTTTTTCTTCGTTTTGGGGTTTTATTTCGGTGATTTATCTCGAGTGTTTGTTGCGGTCTGCCGCCACTCTCCGAACGTAAAATATGAACCATAATGTCATTTATCATACTTAGGAACGAACTATAGGCTTTTTTTGAGTCGACAACCGGAAGACGCTCAGCACCGCGACGTTAAAGGTGTCGATTTAATCTAATTCCAGATCGGGTGTGAGCCTGTTGTGACATCCACCACACGCATAGTGTGGAAGTGTTGACTTTGAAAAATGTACACAGTGGCTCAATATCAAAAGTGCGTTGTGGATATAGTGCCGGCAGCGAATATTCATGTGAGTTGCGCATAAAATTAATGGCAAATTGTAATAATTAACGTGATTGGTGGAATAGTTGTAATTAGAAGGTTGAAGTTATCAATACGCGTTTAATATTTAGATAATTACATAGTACGAAGAATGAAAGTGGTTTTAAATGTTTGAGTTTTGAAAGCAGCTGATTATATATTAACTCAAATGGTGCTTTTATTAATTACTGTAGTTTATTATTTTTATTATTATTTATTTAATTTAATTGTAGAACATATAATTATCGAACTAAAACGCTGCTATTTTTTCGGTTGTCAGTTAACGAACATCCGATATGGTCTAGTGGCTAGGATACCTGGCTTTCACCCAGGAGGCTCGGGTTCGATTCCCGGTATCGGAACTTTTTTTAGATAACGTCGTGAACCTTCAGAAAATAGGTACATCGATCAATATCTTCAATTTTTTGAGGAATCAATAAATTTTGATTACTGTTTTACCATTTTTACGATAATCTTAATGTGTATGTAAATTTGAGAGTAATCGGTTCAATAGTTTCAAACAGCTATTTCTAATGAGAAGAAAACTCCACTATGGAAACGGAGAGTAGAAATCATGCAGTCACGTTTCGACTCAGTTGATCGTGGCCATCTAATTATTTAGATTCTTATTAGTCTGCTTCCTTAAGTAATTAATAACAATACCAGTTATTTGCAACATGTCGGTTAAGTAAAAAAAAAAATACAGTTTAATGTAGCAGAATATTGAAACTGAAAAGATCGCAATACCCAACACAGACATTGTTTTTGCAAGTGTTACAAACTACACCACATTATCCGCACTTTCACGTGTGGCCAATAATTTCGTCGACCTTGAGCTTGCCGCTTTAAGCAGGTGTGTAGTTGCGGGCGAATATGGCCAAATTCGAAAGCACATTGTACATAAATAGGTGACGTTTTTCTCACATATTGTTCCGAGTACGCCTCCGGTTAAATTCCCTGCTCTGTGTAGGCACATGTTATGTAAGCCTATCAACATTTCTTTCAGTCATTAAGTCTGCTCTAATAAACATGTTTGCAATAATTATATCAAACGTATCTGGTGATACGTGAATATTTAAAGTGCCCGCATATTTACTTATGCATTTTGGTTTCTGTGTCATATGTTTGTTAGAACTCTTCAGCATAATTATTGTAATTGCCGTCGTTATTTTCTTATAGACTGTTTCTGTCAAGTGCTTTCGAATGTGTAAATGATCATTTAATTACGTTTCAAACGTGCGGTATGTGCATAACGACCTGTGAGTTCAAATATATGTTCATTCCGTATACTTACATCATTATGTAATGGTATTGAAAGAATTCCGAAAATGTTAAAACACACCACTACAAATTTGTGATAAATGATAGACTGGTGGTACACAAACTTTGCAATTTTGACACGTTCAGCAATGTACAGAACTCTTCCTCTAATGGATTTTCGCAAGGTCAGCAATTTTCTTGCTCGTGCTCTGGTGGCCTTAATGAGCTTTGTTACGTACAGTTTAAAATGTTTCTCCGTTTTACTAAAGATGTAAGATTGAGTTTCAAGGAGTGTTTAAAAACATAATTAGCGACTACAAAAAACCTACCATTATAATCACTAATCAGTAATCACCCTGTAGGTGTTTAAGAGGGTTTTAATATTACGAAAAATTCAAAACTGGTTGAGGAACAAGAATTCTTGTTCCGAAGCATTAACAGAAAGTTTTCTACATATTTAAATCATGGTAATAATATTTAATATTTCTTTTAATTATTAAATTATGCAAACAATGTTATTCGTGTTTTGTTGTTTTTTATATTAACAATTATACATATATTTATAAATTATGTGAGGTATATTTTTCGTATACAATGGCTTTAGCCAACTAAATATCGTATGAAAGTGCTACTGTATTAAAATTACAGTGTGTAATTAACGGTGTAGCAGGTTTTTAGATAATGAATAATAATAGTCGTAGGTTGTGAATAATCGCCTATATTATGATTAATCAGCCGCAATTACTCTTGATACTTGTAACACAAAGCATGTTAAAAATAAATAACCCAACTTAAGCAATCACTTGTGGTTTGAAAGAAAATTATCTGTCTGTATTAAAATATAGATTTTTTTCTGTTATCAATATTAGTGATACAACGTATCAGCCACAATTCTTGTGCTTGCATATACAACCAACATCTCCGGTATGGTCTAGTGGCTAGGATACCTGGCTCTCACCCAGGAGGCTCGGGTTCGATTCCCGGTACCGGAATATTTTTTTTTTAGTTTTTCTACCAATTCTAAACTTGTGTTGAGCCGTTAGTGATTCACTAGCCTCCTGTCCTAACATCTCCGGTATGGTCTAGTGGCTAGGATACCTGGCTCTCACCCAGGAGGCTCGGGTTCGATTCCCGGTACCGGAACACTTTTTTTTTTTCAATAATACGCCACTGTTTTATTTATCTCCTTGTTCTCTTTTTTACAGACTACCATAAAAGTTTATGCGAAGTGTTTACGACCCGACATCGAATACAAAACCCTCAGTATCACCTTCCAAACCACGTGTAAGGAAGTGGTTGGCACACTTCTAGGCAAATATAAAATGAAACATAGGGATCCGAAGCTTTTTTATCTCAGCATGGAAGTTACTGTTCGTAAGGCGGGAGTTCGGACACATCTGGCTCTGGATGAGGAAGCTCGACCAGCGGTGCTGCAGAGCTGCCACCCCCGGGGCGATTCCAAGTAAGTTGGTAATACCGAGTGACTGTTGATGTTTGTGATTTTTTGTCAGGTTGGTGACTTATTTAAAATTTTATGATGGCATACCTGATTGTCAGATTGACATTTATGGCACCAAATCAGTAACTGCCATCTTTTCAACACGTTTGTTAAATGATGTGCTCATGTCGGAATTGACAACTGGGAACAATTAGCGTTGTCGCCAATAATTAAGAATCAGTAATAGTCACCCCGAATGAATAATTAACACTGCATTGTGAGATACCAATTTTCGGTCACCTTAAAACATGTAGATCTGCTGAAAATTGTTTTGGCGTAATTTCGATATGGTTTATGAAGGCATATTCTCTCCCGTATGTCGTAGTATTTGTCATCGTGTTCGAGACAGTTGTCATTTCGATGTCAAACACAGTTTAAATGTTATTAATTCACAACAGTCGATGTGACAAGCGGATGACAGCTTTCAAAATTCATTTCAGAACCGACATACGAAAAAACAAAATCTGGCGACATACTCGTAAACACTCTTGACCAGATTTTTATTTAAACACTCGATAGTAATGGTACTTAAATTAAAAATTTTAGATTTTTCCAAATGCATGTTCAAATTTAATTTTTAGAAACTCTGATTTTTTTGACACTTAAAACTGAAAAATATTGGCCAAAATTGAATCTTAATATACAGAGTGTTTATTAATTTTTTTCTTATTAAGAAATTCAAGTATAAAATAAAATGCAGTAATAAAATACAGAGTGTGTTATTTGAAGAAACTGAAATATCATTTTATCATTTTTTATAAACACTCTGTATATTAAAATTTGATTTAGTTGTTACCACAACAAAGTAAAATAGAATATTGTAACATAGATCTTAAAAATATTATTCTTGTGATTTTGGATCCTTGTATTACCAAAAAAATCAAGGAAATCGGAATGACGTGGCGAACTCGTATCGAAATTTCGAAGATAAACAATGGATATAAAGCCTAGGGACGGGCTAATAAGAATATGCAAAAATATACCGGGTCTCTCGAAAATGGCCGATTAACTCTCCGGTACACTGGTGTTTTGTTGCTGGATGAACTTAAAAAAATCTTGTGAGCTTTTAGTGTTTTATTTTTTACGAATCTGGAAAAGTCTTTAGTGCCGCTGTATTTGGGTACCCATGGTGTATTATTTTGGGAGCCCATAGAGAGTTTTTTTGTAAATTATTTAAAAGGATTTTGGGAGACTTTGGTGTTCTATTTTTCGAAAATTGTGACCTGACCTGTTTTTGAGTTAATTTTGGAACCCCATCTTTTTTTTTTTAATTTGAAACAATCTTGAGGTTTTCACAAACATTCCTGTTTGCAAAGAATTTGAAACTGCTTAGGAGCCTCTAGTTTCTTTTCTTATAATAATGTAATTAAATTTTTAAGAGGATACGTTATTTGGTAAAATCAGTCTTATCTTATCAGGTACTAGCCCCACCCACCCGTCCTCTCTTTTCTTAGAGGATTATCTCATTTGCCAAAATCAGTCTAATCTTAGCAGGTACTCGCCCCGCCCACCTACCCTTTCTTTTCTTGGATGGTATGTCATTTGCCAAAATCGGTCTTATTTTAGCAGCTACTACCTCCATCCACCCACCCTTTTTTTCATAGAGAAATCAGTCATATCTTAACAGGTACTAGCCCCACCCATCCGCCCTCTCTTTTCTTAGAAGGTTAACTCATTTGCCAAAATCAGTCTAATCTTAGCAGTTACTAGCCCCGCCCACCCACCCTTTCTCTTCGTAGAGCGTAGGTTATTTGCTAAAATCAGTCTTATCTTAACAGGTACTTGTAAAAAAAAATGATTTTGCGAATTTTTATTTTTAATAACCTCTTATAGATTGAAATAAATATAAATCAGTAAAGTACCAGTAACCATATAAGAAAGTTAATGACGTTCTATAAATTTGTTTCGACACCCTATATTTTTTAGAGATTCTTGTAGAGCCTGTTTTTCTAAATTCATTAAAGTATCATACATTAATCACCCATACCCCGCCACTGTTTAGCATTCCAACGCCTTATGTATTGCTTATTTTTGGTCTAGAACTCTGAAGTGACCTTATTGTCAAGCTCATGATAGGAAAAAACTCTGAGAGCGGATTTATAAAGAATAGGTACAGGGGCATGTTATTTTATAAAATTTAAACCTTAATTACTGTGAAAAATTTTGAGTGGATGTTATCACGTTGTAGATGGGGTAGGGGTGATTTGAAAATTTTGGTTAGTGTTTTACCATCTACATGACATTCCTAATATACATACGAAATTTGAGAACAATAGGTCCAGTAGTTTCGGAATTAACTAATAAAATTCCGGACAGACGACAGACAGACAGACGGAAAGAAACGTACTCCCCCTGGGGTCATGACACATCGATAAAATAAAAATATGAAAGCTGCCAGTCGCCCGATGGATTCGATTAAAAAATAAAGTAAACTGTGTGCTATCGTTCAACAATAAAACACTCTGTATAATTAAAAATAATTGTAATGCATGATGCTTCATGAATCGTACAACTTTAATTTGATTTTTTCATCTCTAATAATAATTATTGATAAGGAGATATCGAGAACCGCACACTTACTGACTCACCCTGTATATTTATTGAAAACAGTACATACTTACTTTCAGGATGTGTAAAGTTCTGCTAAAGATATAGTCATAGTGCATTTACGACTGTGAGTTCAGAAGCTTTTTTATAGCGGAGTCTTCGTAAAACTATCTAAAAATCTAAGAACATACAGATCGACACGAAACGGCGTCCAATGATTTTTCGAGACCCGAAAGGCGTTTTTTTCTAAGAATTAAATCTTCCAACCGTTGTTAAGTAATAAAGTTCGTGATAGTGGATTGCTTAAAATAAAATAAATCATAATATTAATATTAATATTAATTCTACCTACATGTTTGATAAAATATTTAATTTATCTGTTTCTATTGATAAAACTACTTCAAATACCTCATTTTTTAATTGTGACGATTAACATTGCCAGTTTTACAATTCTTGCATGGAATGGTGGAACTGATCAGTTCCACCATTGCCTTCGAAGGCAATGCAGTGTTGGAAACATGAGTTTACTTGTCTCATAAACTTCTTGTTTACATCATCCTCAATATTAATTGGTTCAGTTAATTAATGTTTCTTTTTTTTTTAACGTTTCTAACATATTTCAGACTAAATCGTTTAGCTTTCAGCTCCTTGTTTGTGAAGGCTGTAAAATGGCGATGTCCATTAACCAATATTGTTGATGTTCACCAAAAGCAATGATCAGTTTAGTCTTTAAAGGGTGATAAATTTTCTATAGCTACTGTCTTAAATAATCGAATCCCAGTATAACAAATTAACATCGTTTTGAGTCAATATCCATGAAATCTACGTTTCAAATCACGCAATGTTTTTATTTTCAGATTTTCTCTTCAAACAAGGAGGGGCGGCTTAGTAAAAGTGCACGACTCCGTCCTTAACAGCAACTCTCAATACAAGAGTCTCCTAATCAGCGCCCGCACCACCGTGGACGAACTCATCTCCCTCCTCTTGAACTGCTACAACAGCAAAGAACGCGTGGAGCAGTTTTCTTTGTACGAGGTCAACACCGATAAGGAACAACAAAGAAAATTACATCCGGACGACAGGCCCTTGCAGGTGCAACAAACCTGGTTGCCCTCCCAGAAGTGTCATTTCCTAGTCAGAAGAAACCCCGACTATTTGCCGCTTTCAAGACGAAAAGTAATTCTCTTCGTGATGATATGTCAACATTATTCTAACTTACCCCATTTCTAGATTTTCTGGGTGTCCGACTTGCCGCCGCTACCCCAGTCCAGGCTCTACCAATCGGCCACCCAGCTAACGCAAATCTCCAAGTCCCAGAACTCCCTCATTCCGGCCAGTTCCAAGGAAGAGCCCAAGACGAAGACCGCGTTGTTGAGGTCGAGTAAAGACTGTGTTGGCAGCAAGAGCAAGAGTACTGAGTTGAAGGTTTTTGGTAGCAGTTCGCAGCTGTCGACGAAGAACGGAAACAGTTCTTATGCAGACTACGAGAATTATTTTTATATTTAACCATTAAATTGTTTTTGTTGTTCCTGTAAATAGTACGTGTGACATCTAGTTCGTTTTTGGATGTGATAGAGCAGCCTAAATGATGTGTAACCAAAGATTTGTAGAAAGCTTGAATGTATTGCACTAACGCGCGGAATGTCTTGTTTTGTTAAAAATGATCTTTGTTTTCTTGTTGTATCCTACAATATTGTGACTGTCGTACCTAAAAGCACTTTTTGTATGTACTGCGGCGTATTCTTGTTATTATTGTATATGACAATTAGTAGTTTTATGGTATAAAATTTCTTATTTTGTTACTTTTCACTAAAGTGTGGGATCGTATTTTAAAGTTTCCATTTTGTAAATGTGGTCTAGTAAATAGTAGTCAGTGTTACGAATTCGACGTAATGTGTAGATATATAAATGCAACGTTTTCTGTCTCTCTCTAATTATACGATAAAATTATTGAAGTAATCTTAAGTAATTTAACTGTATTTATGTCTGACGTGTTATCCAAAGATTAGGTATAACTTCGAAAGTGTATTTTTTGTAACTAACTGTGCAATGTGTGTATATAATTATACCAAAGATCCATTTTGTAAATATACGTGTATATTACAGTGTGTGACCTTAATAAACAACAATAAAAGTATCAGTGTTTTTTTTAAATAGTATTAAAATAAGGAAACTGAATTTTATTCTATATTGCCGGGTAAACGTTTTATTAAAATTTTTTTAAAGTGACGTCATAAATTCTGTGGTGGAGATTAGTACTTACATTAATTTCGATGTTGGAAAAACTATATAAATTATTCTTAGCTATTTGACGGTAATTGTCAGGCTTTTATTATTAAATCTCACAGCTTACTAAGCCACATTTTAATTTAGTGGTGGTAGGTAACGCGGTGTACGTCAAAGGCGAACGTGAAAAAGGTGAATAAAAAATTCGTGGAAATAATATAATGCATAATTAAATGTGCATCTCTTTCCAGTGTAATAATTGTTTATAATGGACTCTTATTCGAAATATTTTTAGACAGCCTGATCCACGGCTGCGAAAATCCGGTATTGCAGGTAAACATTCGCATGAACAATAACAATGAGAGAAAAAACTCTACATTTGGGTCCCGTCACTCTGCTTCCGGTACGCGATCCTCAATTTTAACGAATTACGAAGGAAACAAAGCAAGCTCTATCAAGAATTTCGGACAATTGCAATAGCATTTCAAATATTGATTAAATAAAAAATAATCATTAAGTTTACGTACTGGAACGAATTCCTATATCACTACGAGACCAAATGTTCAAATTCAAGCTGTAAGAAATTATTTAACCTGTAAGAAAATACTGAAGTTTTCCGTTTTCGAGTCCATAATGATATTAATTTAACAGGATTCTGATGATAATTTCAAGGTCCTTCCTCTCAAAATCGATAGGTGTTTAAGATTAGTACAAATGCCTTAAATGAACTTTTTTAAAAATGAGGTGTGAATATTATAGAATTAAAAGTAAAAACATCCAGAACATTAGATTATTATCATTACTAAAATGACTTAAGCCTGAATAAGTGAATTTCCGCCACGTATTTTATATAAATATTTCCACTATTGTAGATTGATGTACCGAGTTAAATTGTTTTAGAATCATGAACAGTTAAAAATCTTAACATGAACTGTGAATTTACAAACAAGGAAGTAAATGATCCTTTAGAATTCAACCTGCACTATCTTACAAAACTTCCTGGAAATACTAACCTAAGACTCCTAAGAGATGACATTCCGCTGAACATGCATGTTGCCTGCCTTATTGAATAATGTTTTAATTTTTCAATTGAGGTGTAGCGGTTTTATTTTTCTCAGGGTGAAATTTAATTTTTCAGATCGGGACACCACAACACACCGAAACATTTAACATTGTTACTTGGTTCTAGTAATCTCTGAAAAATTAGACAAGCTATTTCAAGTTGTTGTATATAATGTGGTGACCGAATTTTAATTAAAATTTCGCGCTGAAAAAAAATTAATAGTGGCGCGAATTCATATTTGAGTAATTTGAAATTGAAAAAAAAAATCAGTCAAAAAAATCGTTAAACATAGGCAACCATGTGGAATTTTAGTTACAGGGTTGGTGGAAGATGGCGGCTTGGTAGGGAGGTGAGACCAGGCGCGGATCCAGGGGGGGGGGAGCAATGGATGCAATTGCCTCCCCCCCCCCCCCCCTGACACACGACCGAGGTACTTTATTTTGACCAATTTCAAAAGCACTGAATTAATTAACTAATTCTGGAAGTTATCGGAGACCCGAAAGCTACAAGAGAAAGTATTTGGTTAAGCTTCGAAAATCGTCGAAAATGGGTCGAAATTTGCATAATGGAGGTAATACGAATACATAATGGAAAATATCATTTTTGAAAAATTCATCTAAAAATTCAGGGTACAGATCCCGGGGTGTTTATTCCAAAAAGATAGGGTGTTTATGGTCACGGAGTAATATTTTTTTAGAAAGTATCTATTATCCATTGTTGCTTAAGAATTCTTTAATTTTTGTTTAATAAAATTTAGGTTTAATTCTTGAAGTTTGTTTTCAGTTGTGTATGAAGTTGTTATTCAATTCCCTTTCAGATTTTTGGGAAAATTGCTGATCCGAACAAATCATTAATCCGAACACACCTTTTTCCCAATTAATTAGGATTATCGAGGTTCTACTGTACATTATACGTGTACCTAATGAAAAGAACCAAATGTCACCCATGTTATGTGAAAAAGAGTATACTAGCTAAAATTTTATATTTTTTTTTGTTTAGAACGAATTTTTGGTAGATAGGTAAAATCGCATATAAATTGCCCCCCCCTGAACGAAATCCTGTATCCGCGCCTGGGTGAGACGGTCACTTTTGGTGTGTTTGTTGTGAGTGTAACCACGTGATGAGTTAGCTAGAATAAGTTTAGTTGGTTTGGTAGTTAATAAAAGAAAGAAAGCCTTTGTTTAACGAAAATTAATCGTAACGACGCGACGCCACAGTTTCCCAACACGCGTAGCTATGTTGCGGTTTTTTCCAAGTGGAAATAGGTGAACTTTCAACCGACGCTAACACGTGTAAATTTATTTTATTGTTTGTAAATTCACAGATCATGTTAGGATTTTAATCGTTAACTGGTTCTATCACAATTTAACAGACATTAGATTTGTTTGGACTGAGCACTTGCAGCAGTTTTCATGAAATTCACTTAGTCATGATTCACATTTGTGTACAAAGTTATGAAAAAGTTTCTAGATGCTAACACTTCTGAATTCTTCACACAAGATTGCTAATAGTTCATTTACGGCAGTTAAAATTAACCTAACGTTATCCAACTCTGGGAAAAGGGCCGTACAAGTACGGTAGAATTCACAATATTGTGAACTGAGGTACGGGGGGATTAAAGATTTCTTTCCTTAGGCAGTTATTATCATCATATCATCATCACATTACCGAGATATTTTTTTCTCGGAACGTTGAAAATTACATCACCGAAACGTATATTTCCTCGCAACGCCTGGACGCATTTTGTGTTTATTTATCATGCGTTTTGTTCGGAATAAACAGTTCACGATATAAACTCTCAAAGCTAATGGTTTTAAGTAATCAATCACTTGGATCATGCCATCATTTCCCATCATGTAAATTCTTTGATAAAGTGTGGCATAATGTAACATAATGTAAATTCTTTGTTTGAATCGTTGATAAAGTGGTGTATAATTTAACATCAGGTAAATTCTTTGTTCTAGCAGCAGCCATGTTGAATTTTTTTATTTGCACAAGTTTTATTTCACACCACATCTTTTTTGTTTTTATAAATCTTTGCTAGTTTTTCGTTTTGTAAATATTTTGTTGATTAATGTTTCCATCATATAAATAGTCTGCTGTCCAATCTTAATCTCAGATAAGAGATAAGAATTCTTTATTGTTCCAAATTTCACAAGAGTGTATAGCGAATTCAAATGTTGTTTATTGCTCTTGAACTTGAACACTTGTTCAGTCGTAGTTTAATGTCAGAGTTATAGAAATCGAACACTTAAATTGAATTGAGGTTACATAACACAGGAACGCGTGGCAGAAGCGGAGTGCGCGGTTCCTAGTCGAGTTGGCGGCATTTATCGCGCCATCTGCACAAAGGATGCAAGTTTAGAATTAGCCAAATACACTGACGTCATCCGAGGTCATCAAGATGGCAGCGTTTGACAACTAGCCTGTTTTCTCATAAGAGTCAATGCTAATATTTTCGGAATTCATTTAAATTTGAGAACGTGTCAACTGTGTTTTTATAGTTTGGAAAGTTTGTTACAGTTTCTAGACTGTGTAGATATTTGTAAAACGCACCATAACGTTTGACTATGCTTAAAAAATAATGTTTTCCAATGTGATGTACAGGTTAACTTCGCTGCATCTTATATTATTTGTTTTGCAAATTAATTCTTTGTTAATGTACATCAATGTTTTTTTAAATACACTAGCATCTTAATATTATAGTATTTTGTATTTTAGGAGAAAATGCCTAAATTTTGTGCTGTTGTAGGTTGCGCGAATCGAAGCATCAGAAATGCGGACAAATTTTATTTTCCTTTCCCAGCAATTAGCAACAATAAAGGTAAATATATACAGGATGGGGAAAAAGGCGGAAGCTTTGGTTAAAAGCCTTGAAACGAGTGGATTTAACGAAGCCAAAGTAAAGTATTCCTATGTTTGTTCAGATCATTTTATTTTGGTACAGTAACTACCTATTAGATTTACAGTTTTTAATAAATTACTACATTGGTGCTCTTTTAGGTAAACCTGCAGATTTGTCGGATGTGGACCATCCTGATTATGTTCCATCACAAAATTTAGGATATCAAAATAAATCCACTCGTAATACTTGTAATGTTGAAAGACAAAAATAGAGAAAACTGAATAAATGCCTCTAGACTTTTGAATGCACAAACATCGTCTAAACACAAATTAAAATCACTTGCACTCATTATATAAGGATCTACGCCGTTTAAATTGTTTAACTTTTGTACATATCCGCTTTTCTCTTTGACGGAAAGACATCGTGCATAATCACTTAAATTATCCATACTTTAAAAACAAATTACACACCTTCACTTAAACCCGTCACATTAACCTCAAACGAAAATATTAATTTCCGATTTACCGCTTAAAACACACGAATGTATTTTGGGTGACGAGGAATTCAGACCAAAACAGCGTTCTGTATTTTTATTTTTATTATGTATTTTTAAACTCAAATCGCCAAAAAAGCACCCTGATACACAGAAAAGATATGAAAGAAGCTATTCACGTGTTTATTTTCTAGAGAAATACCCACACTTTTAAATAAAATGCGAAAATGTTAACATTGTCACTTATGGAGTTTCACGGCGCTTGTCAAACGCTGAGTTCCCGCCACAGCGTGACGTCACGTGTTATTGGCTAATAGAAGTTAGGGGCGGTGGTGACGCTGTCGGCTTCGTGATAGCCAGGACCCAACCGCAAGTTTGCCAAGTTCGTAATGGAGATGTGCTTTGCGGCAATCTTTGCGATAGATAGAGTCACCGTCGTGGGTAGGAGAACAGCCACGACCAGGAGCCCCAAACTCCGCTCGTGCTACAACGCCCCCTATGGGTATTTTTGTTCTGCTCTAGAATGAAATTGACATAGTTCGTTCACCACACTCTTATAGCGTTCTGGTGCCGCTGTCGCTGTATAGTTTTTTATTAAAATTTTGTCCTCTTGTTGACCTCCGTAATTTTAAATTTGCCGCCATACGCCCGTAATAACCTGTGCATTTGCATCCAGTTACTTTAATTTAGATTTTTATTTGTTTTTATTAAATTTGTAATATTCAAATATTTGCATTCATTCAGAACGTTTAATTTGTTTTCATTCAAAGTCATTCAAAGTTTTTTCTTGTAGCTGAGCATTAAGAGGTGTCTTCAACCGGCACATTTTGGTCGCAGGCTTTTTTTTGTCAGTGGAGGAATAAGGAGGATTTTGTGTCATTCATATATTTTGTGTTTTAACCGCTACTTTTCCAACATTTTGTCAGACGATCACAGCCTAGGCCAAATTTTGAATTTTTGAGTTTTTCGCGGGTTTACATTTTTTTTCCACATGTCAACTGAAGGCGGGATATTTCGGTTATCACAATAGTTTCAAAAATTTTAATGTGAAATGATGTCGTTCTAAGAATAGTACTTTTTTGATAACTAGTAAATATTAGTACATTCTTCAGTACTTTTCCTGCATATATTTCTTCACCAAGTCGTAAAGAAAAATGGTTCTCTAGTGGGCGTCGAATTTGTATCCATCTTTATTCTCAGTCCCGTCGTTAGTAGCAGAGCTTGAAAAACACATCTTTTTCATCCACTGCCAACTTGAAGACGTTTTTATTGATTTTTGTGAAAATAGGAAAAAACGTTACTGCGTGATATTAGTAATAATTACGAAAAAAAGAGACAATTAACTTCTTTACCAAAACGTAAGTGACTGAAAAGAAATTGTATAAATTATGAACTAATCACAAATTTTTATACAAATTTTTATGCTCCGCTGACAAAAGCAGTTATGTATTACGGATTTAAGGGCCTGCAATAAAAATCCGAACAGACGGCAGACAGATAGACAGACAGACAGACAGACAGACAGACAGACAGACAGACAGACAGACAGACAGACAGACAGACAGACAGACGGTTAGATAGACAGATAGACCGAAACGAGATACCTATTTCTTCGTACTCTAGGGCTTTAAAAAAAAAGTAAGCAAAATTTGTTGCTTTTATTCGAAGTTTTAGAAATGTAAACATTTTGCGAAATTAATTACAGAAAAAATGATAACCAGATTAATAATATCAAAGTAAAATTTTCAAATTTTGGTGACTGTTGAGGATTGATGTGAATTTTGGTGGTGGTAATTTTGAATGACTGACACCCATGGTGCAAGAAGAGTCCACCATGCTGACAGCAATATAACATGTCAGTTCACAGTTGTCAATTTTTGGCAGCTATTTATTTGGTACTCAAAATTTCTGTTTCAGGTAAAAACATGTAGGGCATCAAAAAAATTTAAATATGTTGCTAACCTGACAAAAAATCTCAAACAGCATTAGGCACTGGATATTCGTAGTAAACGAATTAAATAAATTAATAAAATTAACATTACATTCTCTAGCCGAATATTCCGAACGTACCCAAACCGAACTACCTGTTTTCGTTTTCATAACGCACTCCTCGCTCCAAACGAGAGAAAATGGGGCTTACGTCAACCGTCGTCCTTGAAATCCAGCCGAGATTGGGCAATTTGACGTGTAAAGTGAAACATTTTAGGTTATAGGCTACCAGATCTTTGTTTGTAAATACAGTGATAAAAAATATTCTCAAAGTACAAAGATGTCAACCCAAAACAACCCCACAGGTTTAACCAACACAGAAGACGATGAACTAACCTTACCCAGAGCGAGCATTAATAAAATGATAAAAGAACTGGTTCCCTCAGTTCGAATTGCTAACGAAGCAAGAGAATTAATCCTCAACTGTTGCACCGAATTCATACACTTACTAAGCTCGGAAGCAAACGAAATATGTAACCAGCTGCATAAAAAAACAATAAACGCTGAACACGTGCTAATGGGTAGGTAATACTCTGACAAAAATTTCTCACTATGTAGCATTATTTTTGCAGCTTTAGAAAAATTAGGGTTCGGCGACTACCAGACTGAAGCTGAAGCCGTATTAAAAGACTGCAAAGCCGTTGCAGCTAAACGTCGGCGACAAAGCACAAGACTGGAAAACTTGGGAATTCCGGAAGAGGAGTTGTTGCGGCAGCAACAGGAATTGTTTGCGAGAGCTAGACAAGAGCAGGCGTTCGCGGAGCAACAGCAGTGGGAACAGCTACAGGCGGCTGCACAAGCTCAGGCTTCGGCGCTGCCTAATAATGATGATGACTATGAATGATTCGACTATGATATCTAATTTGTTATTGTTTTAGGGACTATATTACAACTGTTTTGTACAAATTGGAGATGCTATAAAAAGGCTTTGTACAATATTGTAAAGTTAATAATAAATAATTGACACTATTTTTACACCAGTTTTTTTTTCAATTGTACCTAATTGTTACAAACAAAAAGTGCGTTTTATTTAAATTTCTGGTGTTTATCCCAAGACTGTTGATGTATCTCGTATTTCATTTCTTATTTCGCTGGTCCCGGGTTTTCGGATCAATAAAATTAAAATGATTTAGTTTTTAAATATTTGTGCGATTGGTAACACCCATTGCACTTTGTTCAAGACCAAATGTCAAAAGGTAGCGTAACGTTCTGTCACGGTAGAATTTCTGAAATGTTAATATTTTTCATTTAGCCATAATTGAAACCCAAAAGTGTTTTTATTGATTCCTAAATAACTCGCGTTGTGTCTAGAGTGAAAAAAAAGTACATAGAATGTAAATCCGGCCCCATGGAAAAAAGTGCTTTCCTAATGACTGCATCGGGTTGGAGGTTATGAGAAAAACTCGTGCGTAAGTAAATATCGTATTTTCGATTAATTCATAAAGGAAATATGAGAATACTCTTTGACTGGTTATTTATGAATTAAAACTCCGCTTACGTAATACAGGTTTTTGCATAGTACAGAATTCAAGTTGAAGAAAACAGATGATTATTTTAAAGTAACTTTTTTTTGAAATATCAAACAATGTCGGACGTTCCTGAAGCACAAGAACCGGAAAAAATGCCAGAAGTACAGGTGCCAGCCCCCAAAAAACGGGGAAGAAAGAGAAAATCGGAAATGGCTCTTCGTCAGGTGGAGGAAGTGATTGATATGCTCCCTGTAGAAGAAACTGTATCAAGAAGGGGACGTCCACGAAAAAAAGTGAATTATTACGAGCTAGCTAATCCAGATAATTTGGATTTTCAAGTATCACTAGAAAAACAAATCACTTATTACAATCTAGAAAATTTCGAACAAAATAAAAAAAGAAAAATTGAAAAAAGTGATAGTTTGAATGAAGACGCAGATGTGTTGCCGCTAGAAAACACAGTGGTTCAAACTAAAGTGGAAGAAAATGTTTCAGAACAAAGTGAAACAAGCACTATTGCAAATGGTTCCCTTCAAGATGGTAAGAGTAAACTATAGTAAATGAAAAAAATATTCCAGATTTTTTTTTAGTACCTACTGAAGCAACTAATTTATCAGCAGATGCAAACGCTAGTTTTGATTACACCACCTTAAATTCTGAAGCAACCACAAGCACTCCAAGTAAAGATAAAAAATACAACTACACAGGAGAAACTGTAAAAATGATGAATACATTATTCAATCTGTTTAATACGGATGAAAACCCAGCTCAAGATAGTACAACTAAAGTAAATAATAGTGAAACAAATTCTAGTAAAAATGGTAAAAGGTGAGACTTAACACACCAAATTAATAACAAACTAAATTAATTTTTTATACTCAGAGCATATAGGAAATCTAAAAAATATAATACCATAAATGATGAAGAAATGGATGATAGTTCTGTGAGTACTGTCACATGTGCAATCTGCAATTCCTCAATGGACAAAAGCCTGTGGACCCATCACAAGCAAAGATACCATAACAATTTAGCCTGGCGAGTTGGTGACTCCCCCCTGGTAAAAAAAGCATCTTTTTTAAAATTAAAATCCTCAACCTTTTTTTTAGGATCTAAATGATCAATCTTTTGTCATGCACACTTTACATATGTTGTACAAAAAGAAAAAACCTTTGTATTGTGATAAATGCGGCAAAGTAAAAAAATCCGTGGTAGGATTTTTATCCCATCGGTCACAATGTTTAAAGTCTGAAGAGCAGTTAGAATCTGTGAAAATTGCATGTGAAATTTGCGGCCGCAAAATGTTGCCTGTGAGTATGAGTACTCATATGAAAATGCTACATTCTGAAGGGTCAGAAAAGGTGAAGAATGGCTCTGATAAGTCAAATAACGACCTAAATAAACCTCTAGCTTCTAAAAGAAGTGCAGCAAAAAAGTAATTATGTTGTAGTGTGAACAAAAATAGAAATAATCTTAGGTGTTTGTTTTTAGAGCAATGAGGATCATAGAAACGGTTACTAAAAATGATGATACAGTAAGTTGGTTTAGTTTGGATTGTAGCAACTGATGATTTGTGAATTTCTAGGAAAAATATTTTACCAGAAATTTGGATTTAGGGTCTCAGGAGTTTGCCAGGACGCTGATGCAAAAAGAATTAGATGAAACTAAGTTCTTTGAATGTAAATTTAGTTGTAATTGTATTACTACTAATATAGAGGATGCAATAAAACATATGGAGGAGTGTACAGAAAAACTTTCAGAGGGTTTTGTTTGCAAAAGATGTTTGACAGTATCAGGAACATTAGAAGAAATTATTTATCATGTGGAGTTCAGTCATGAAATCTCTGTGGAAAAGGATGACGACCGCGATCCCAGTTTTACAGAAAAAGAGAGCAGTAGTACGTATATGCGTATTTTTATTTTCTTTAAAAAAAATATTTTCCCTTTAGAATTACCCTCGTTTATGCGTTGCTCAGTTAAGAAATTGGACAAAGTCTTATTTCCGTTTGCTTTTGAATGGACTTTTAAATTGTAAGTATACGTAAAATGTTTGTGTAATATTGGAAACCTGGATTGTCTCATAATTTAGCGCCTGTTTATATTGAGCGTTTTTTAAACACATTAATTGCATTATTTTGATTGCGTAACGTTAATCTAAAATCAGTAATATTGTCCCACTATTTATAGAATTGTTGCCAGTCTGTTCATAAAACGTGACTAAGTATTATTAGTAAGCGTATTATTTAATGACAAAGGAAATACTGCATTAAAATCAGAGCACACGATTTTCGTATTAAAATTGTTGATTCTCGGCGAAAATTTATAGCAATCAAAGTAAACTTGGTCTTAATTTTGAAGCAAATAATTTTTCCACAAATATTAAATGCATTTTTTACTGTTACAAGAACGGTAACTATAGAATGTGTAACAACACAGAATGTTTGAAAACATTGTTTACATAACAACTACAACGTAGTTCCTTGAAGTTACCGTATTTACTAATCTTTAAATTACTTGTTTTTATAAATTCTCTAAAATGCTCGCTTAAAATTGACATTAAGGGGGGGATTTTCGTTTCGTTGTATGTTATTGAGCTCAGTTTATTTATTATTTCGATTTTTCAATTTTTTCGAGTTTAGTTTTTCGTTTCTTCAATTTTTAGATTTGTAATTTTTTACTTTCTCAGTTTTTTGAATTTTCAACTTGGAAGTTTGAACTTTTAGGTTTTGCAATTTTTCAATTTGCAATTTTTCGTTTCTTTTTTTTCTTTATTTTTTCAAGTTTTCTGTTTTTCAATGTCCTAATTTTATAATTTTTCTTTTCTAATCTGAAATTTTTGAATGTTTGGATTTTTCAAGTTTTCTGTTTGTTAACTTTTAGATATTTTAAATTCACAAGCGTTTTAAAGCTTCTAGATAAATACTATTATACCGAGTCATCTATCATTGAAAAGTGAAAAAAAAGCTCGCTTTTGTAATATTACAAACTGTACTCTTTTAGATTTAGAAAAAAAACTTGATGTTATTTCCGATGAAACTAAAGCTAATAATAGTCTACTCCTTTAATAGATTGTATCACGTATATAACATTCCAAACTTCAAATTTTTATGTTTTAAAATAATTGAGATATTTGAGTGGAACATTTACGTTGGGACACCCGGTATAGTTTTATTTAAACAACGCGATTACTTAAAAACATGTTTCAGAAGGTAATTTTTAGTCGAAAAATAAGAATTTTGCAATTACGTTTCGCTTTCCGGCTCACGATGAATAAAAAAAACATGACAGTCGAGACAGGGCGGGTGGGTGGGGCTTATATTTTGCTCTTTTTTTCTTAATACATACAAGTAGTCTTATTTTCACAACGAGCAACTTAAAACATGTTAAAAATGGTTTTTTAAGGAAACATGGAATGGAGCGTAATTGCAAAATCAAAATTTCCTTACAAAAATTTACTGATTTGAACATATTTTTGGTGTGGAAAAAAGACCATGTATATTAAGAAAAAAAGGGCAAAATATAATATAAAATGTTTTTCATTTATTCAATTTTCATTTTTCAATTCGATTTTTCGTTTCTTCAATTTTTGATTTGCAATTTTTCTTTTATTGTAAATATGTAATAATAATTGTGATTTTCAAAATTTTTCACTTTTCTTTAATCTATGATCTCAGAGTTTATTCAATTTTTAAATATTTCGGTTTTTAATTTTTCAGTGTTACAGTTTTTCGACTTCACAATTCTATATTTTTTCGATTGTACAATTTTTGGGTTTTCCAATTTTTCGCTTCAATTCGTTTTTTGTTTCACTTTTCTACTTATTAATTTTTTCGATTTTTAGTTCTAAGTGTATCAATTTTTCATTTCCTCTGTTCTTCGATTTGCAATTGTTCGATTTTCCACTTTTTTCAATTTTTCAATTTTTAAATTTTTGAATTTTCAGTTCTTCGATTTTTCAACTTTTCGAATAAAAAAATGAAAAAATTGAAAAATCAAAAATAAAGAAACGAAAAAATATAAAACGAAAATTTTTAAAAATCCAAAAATTTGAAATCAAGAACTTGAAGAATTGAAGAAACGAAAAATTGAAAAATCGAAAGATTAAAGTTCAGAAACTTAAAAATTGAAAAACTGCAAAATTGGGAAAACGAAATGTTTTGTAAAATCGACATGTTGAAAATGAAGGAAATCGAACAATCGGATAAGTGGAAATCCAAAAATTGCAAAATTGAAAATTTGAAAAAGCAGAAAGTCGAAGTTTGAAAATTTAAAAGATTGAATAAACGAAAAAATAAAGGAAAGGAAAACATGAAAAATTGTAATATAAAATGGAAATATCGATTGAAAATTCGAAAACCGAAAATTCGAGAAATCAAAAAATCGAAATGTAAAATTGAAAAATCGATAATTCAAAACACCAAAAATCGAAAATTGAAAAAATCGAGAAATCGAAAAGGAAACAAATTGAAAATTCGAATATGGAAATATCGGAAATTCGATCAATCATATACTCGAAAAAAGGAAAATCCGAGAAATCAGAAAATCGAAAATTCGAAAAAAGATAGGGGGGAAAGCATTTTTTTCTTTCAATTCGCTAATACGATATTACATTGTGTATAGTTGAAAATAACTGTAGGTTATGGGATTTAAAAAAACATACAATTTTAGTCTTTTTCTTGGTATTAAAACTAGAACTAGAATTAATGAAATATCGAGGAGCGTATAGGCTTAGTGATAATAATAATCCATGCAAAATATTAACATAAGTTCTTGTAATTAAGGTATTAGCTCTATTTCGAATTTCGAAATGATAAACGAAACTATAAAATATCAGTTATTTGTAAATCCGAGGTAATTTAAAAAAAAAAATTGTCAAATGGTTAAATTTTTTAACCACAAATTGTAGAGTTTATTATTGCACACAAACTTACAAAATTAAGACGTTTTGGATAAAAATAATAACAAGCATTAATTTATTGAAATAACTGAAATAATTATGATAAATGACCTGAATTAAATAGATTTACATTAATTTAGAAAATTACAAGAATCGACCTGACCTGATCTGAATTAAATAGCTCTATATTAATTTAGAAAATTACAAGAATCTTTATTAGTCGTGCTACAATTATGACTACAAATTTTTTTGTTCGACATTTTCATTATTGAAATCCGAAGCAGATTACTACGTTCTATCTAAATCTCAACACACAGAATTCTTTTTTGGCAAGATGTTGTATAACTAACAATTCCAACATGTCGTATGTTTATGTTTCTGTCTTCGTCGGATACACTGTACGCAGGTGAAGACTGCCCGCATTTCTATGATTTTAGAAGTGGCGTTCCTGTGTTGGACGAAGACAGAAACAGAAACAATACCGTTTCTACTATAGTGTATGTACTACCACACGCAAAAATAGTGAAAAAATTTATTGCGGGTAGATTTTAAATGGGAAGCAGTATTTTTTATTAACACATTAATCTAATAAAGTAAGCAATCGAAAAAACTGACGAATATTGACAATTTGAAAAAGACACAATTCGAAATCTTTGAATGAAACGTTTGAAAATTAATACGTTTTTGCCTGTTCAGATGATGAAACATGTTTCCAGTTATTTAACTGTTTTTATGCTCTCTTCAGCTTTCATTTTCTTCATTGACTTCATATTAATAACTATTAATAAAATTGGTCAAGTTTATACATATTTTTTTATTAAGAAATGCATAATAGACATGATTATAAATTATGAAGCCCCCTGGAATTAAGTTTGTTAATTTGAAATATATTTTTTTTAAAGCGATACATCTCATATTTTTAAAATGCAACTCCTGAAACCACAATGATGTTCCCCATAAGATGGAACCAAATCAGATCAAATAAGCCTTAAACATCAATTACCTTGTAGCTGTGAAGAGAATTTCTCGGACTACCACTTGGAGGAACTGGGTATCGTTAAACCCAGCTGGAATTTCCTACCACGCGACCAAGCGATAAAATATCTACCAAAATTAAACGAATCCTGTCACGTGGCCCGTACTTTCGTCACTTCTTTCATAAACCCACTAGGCAATAAGTACGAATTTAGAAAATACAATTTATTTGAATCCGAAGTACACGACAACAAAATCACCCTATTCTGCGGTGGTCCGATATCCGCGCTAGCATGGGTACCAACCCCATACTTACAAGAAAGCGAAAATCAAGTCCTAGCCGTCTCCGTACTTAATTCACCGGACGACAAGTTCCCCACTTCCGAAAATTTTCACGTAGAGTCGGCCATCCAATTCTGGAATTTTGGGAATCTTCAAAATAAGGAGTACTCGCTGCAGGAACCAGAGATGATTTTTTGTTTGGCGCATGATCATGGGCCGGTGTGGCACATGGAGTGGTGTCCTTCGGGATGTTACAAGGGCGACCGTATGGGACTTCTGGCTGTAACTGGATCGGATTCAATTGTATATATTTATGCCATTCCATTTTTGCAGAAATGTCAAATGTAAGACGGTTTTTAAAAATTGAGTTGTAACTACACTAAAAATATTTCAGGGGTTTATTTTATAAGCCAAAGCCTGTGATGAAATTGTTATTACAACGAAACGAAAACCCACGATTAGGTGGACTCAAGTATTACCCAACCAAAATATCGTGGAGCAAAGTAAGTGTAACTAAGACAAGTTCGTAAAATGATTTAGTTTTTCAGGCCGCGGGTCACCAATACCTTTGTGTCGGTTACACAAACGGTTTTGTGGCACTTTTTAACATAAAAAGTACTTCCTTTATTTTGAAATTCAAGGATTCCGACGGTGTTCCGTGCGTTTTGCCTAGTAAGTGCTTCCAAGCGCATGCGCACGCCATTACTAGTAAGTTCTGCTAAGTGTGACTTATCTGTTATTAAGATGGGTTTCAAGTTTTAGCGCTCCACCACCTCAGTGGTGGCTGTAAATGGTTGCTGACGGGATCTTTCGACCGAAGGGTAAGTGTCTGGGATTTGGAAAATTACAGTTATCCAATATGCAGCAATAAAAAAAATATTGTTACTGATGGTTTTTGGTTTACGAACTGGTTATGCTATGGTATAGCGTGTGACGAAGGCTCAACTGCAAGTAAGTGATTACTGTGACACCGGCAGATGTAATTCTTTGTTTTAGCTTCGTATGTGTCTGCGATTTTGAAGCAAGTACGGGATTATTTAAGTGATCCGAATGTAACGATGACTTGTTCACATGCCACCATTTCTGCGGTATCGGGAAGCGATTGGCTGAATGGTATCGTACATGCGAACTCTGTAGGCGAAATTATAGCTGTCTTTCCACACCAGTTGTTGAATTTTTCGGAACACCATAAAACGTTAAAAAGTAAAAGAATGGTAATAGGTTTTTTTTTTTAAATTAACTGTACACTAGATAATATTTTGATTTATTTCCAGCTGTTTGGTTACACTTGTTTGCTTGAAAAGAACAAGCCACCTAAAGATCGACTTGAAGACGACGCGCTCAGAAAGAAGACTTTACATACCTTATCTACCAAAAAAATGTCAACTGGTAGTAGTAAACTATCAAAGATTAAGGCAGATGTTAATTGCGACAAATTATTCGCAAACGAACCAATTATATACGATGAAGCTGCGGAAAAGTACGCTCTATTGTTTTGTGATAATAAAATGGTAATTAATTTTAGAACGCATGAATGCCTTAAGTAATTGTTACTTTTAGAATTCCTACGACGATTTTCCAAAAAGTGCAGCCAAACAATTGACTGCTTTGTCCAAGGTGTATGGGGTTACCGCCCCCAATCGGTACCCTTTAACAACAGTAAATAAAATTGTGTTCAATCCGAATCGGCAGGCAAGTCTGTATTACGCCACTGGTTATCAAGCCGGTTTTGTAAGAATCAGTTGGATGGAGTTTCTAAAAGGCGACCACCAAGTTAAATGAATTTTAAATTTACCGATGTACATTTTATTTTTTTTATATATACATACATGTATAGGTTATTGTAATTTATTTTGTAATTAAAACGAAGTAATTGTTGTTTTGGGTTTATTCAACTTCGATTACGTCAACATGTTCATCCTTGATCACTTTACTGTTGATTTTCTTCTCTAGTTGTTGAATGCGGGCTTCGTATTCTTCATTTTGGTGAATTAAACGGGCGTTGGTTTCGATTTCCTTGTTTAGGGTTGCGGTCAGCGCACTATTAATTTGTTCGTTATTGAAATTCTTTTCTTGAAGATTTTTGCACTGGCTTTCCTTCTAAAACCAGACTTAAGTTTGTTACAAAGTACGTGATCATAATTACCTGTAAATATTTGATTTTGTTCATGATGTTCTCGTGTTGCATATTTACCACTTTCTGCTCCTTAATTAATTTGTATAATCGCTGATACTTCGCTGAAATTCAACATAGATTTTTTGGCAGCAAATTATACAACTTACCAATATTTTCAATCACCGTGTTTTCCAGTTTGGAATTCTCTTTTTTCAGCTTCTCGTTTTCTTTCATAAGTAGTTGACTTAAATTGTGAAATTTCCCCGAATTTTCGAGCTTGTCTTCTAATTCTTTTACCCGTAGATGTTCTTGTTCTAATTGTTCAGCACTTTTACTTACTAGAAAATAAAGTCAAATACCAATGCATCTGCAAGCTTACTCTTTACTTTTCGCAATTGTTGAATTAATTTTAGTTTGTCTGACTTCCAATTCATCTTGAAAGGCACGAGAATATCGAAGTTTGTCTTTAACTTCTTCAGCTTCTCGGGATAGTTGATGGTTTTCAAGTGCCATTTTTTGAATATTGTCGCTAAGAATCTGTATTTCGGAAAGCTGTAATGTGTATGACACAGTGTTTAGTGAAAAATATACAAGCTGTCACTGAATAGGCAATACACTGTTATGTTATGAATTTTTCTGTTTATACCTATATATTTATTTATTTTTGATGACGTCATTACAATACTTGCCTATTCACTGATCTCACACAATTTGAATCGTGCTTTTACCTTCATTTCTTCTTTTAATTTTAAATTCGTGTAAGATTCATTCATTTCTTTCAGTTTGTCCTCCAGTGAGGACGATTTCTTCAGCGCTAATTTGAGAGTGAATTCTGATTCCTTCAAGAGCGATTTGGTGACTTCAAGTTCCCTGTTCAGTTCGAAAATTTTTGAATTTGCGTCTTGGAGTTCTGTTTTCAAATGAGACACTTGATCCTACGGAAATTAATTAATTTGGTGCTTTTATACTATGATTAATTACCTACCCTTTTAAAAGCAAGCTCATTGCAGACTTCCCTATGTAACTGTTCCCTTTTGTCCAAATCAAGTCCATTACTGCTTTGATTTATCTTCTCTCGCAATTTAGCGATTTCACTTAAATAGTCCATTTCTTAAAAAAAATATACATTTTTAAAATATAACGGGTTACATAATATTGAGCTTGAAGCCATTCAAGAAGCGAGATATTAAATGTTATTGGAATTTACATAATCTGATTAAGGCACTGCAGTGCGCCTGTCAATTTTCGCGTTATAATTGCATTTTCTCAGTGTCTCCCGTTAACACGACTTGACAAGTGTTAAAAATTGTATTATGGAGTCTTGGCTAAAGAATCAGTGCAATTTCAATTACCGATCGCATTCTTATAAACTGTCGTTGACTGTGATATCTCTGTTTACTGGAAAAAAAGTAGCTAGAAACGAAACAGACCCCTTCCTTGTGAGTGAAGATGGAATAAAACATCAACAATTAAAAGACGACGAGAAGAATGTTAACAACGAGGAAAAGAAAGAAGATAAAATTTGGCGCCGCTTAAGTCTGCACAGCTTTCGAAAAAAGCGGGAGAAGAAGCAAGAAGAAAAGTCTAAACCCATTATTCCGGCAGTCCTGAACACCTACGACAAGCAGAAGAAGGACCACAAGAAGAAAAAGGAGTGGTTGTGATTAATTTTGTCAGTAATTTTCGATGTAAATAAACCAAATAAAACCATTTTTAGAGTAGATATAGATTTTTCAATACCGTTAAGCGCGTCGTTGGTTATTATTCATGTGGTGTTTGAGCTTTACATGCCACATAACGAAGTTTGTCTTGTTAAGTAAGTATCGACATTTTAATCAGAAGACTAGTGGGATTTTATGAAATTTTCCTCGTTATTGGCTTAATCAGAACGCATATGGAATTTTAAAATGTTATTGTAGCAGTTTCGTATAAAAGTAAACAGAAACCGCTGTGGTGGTGCAGTGTTTGTGTAGTGTTCGAAAGCTAAGTTTAGAGGTAAATATGGCAAAAGTTGCACTTATTAGAAATTATTTTGAACAATTACCTAGCTAAAATCACCTGCTTTTAACCAACAGAATTTTAGTTTTGACAGTTTTACTACAATAGTCACAGCCTCCTCGACGATAGAAGCCAAAATTTAGGCTTCGTTGACACTATATCTACAACTAAAGTTTGATTCACATTTTCAGGATGGGTATGAAGAGTGTATTTACCGGAATATTCCTCCTTTCAAGCATCTACCTCCTTTTCATACACCAATTTCATAACGCTTCTGCTGCCCCAGGAAATGTTAACAATTTAGAGGCGCATAGAACAAGAGGAAGACCTTTCGCAAGATTGGGTTCTAGGGGCTCAGGTCAATATGCGCGAATTAAACCTGAACCCTTTGGCGAATTTATAGGTGAGTTTCTGGGTTACTATTGTAAGGGGGTTTTGTGACAATTTTTTTTAGTTGACGATGATGATCTCTTTGAATTGTCGAAAAGGCAAACTTCTGACGACTATGGCCATTTGCGGTTTGGCAAAAGAGGTGAAGAAACATTCGATGATTATGGTCATATGAGATTTGGACGAAGTGGAAGCGAATAGTTTTGAGAAGCTTGGTTCCTGGTTACTTGTAGTAAATGTGTAGAATAAGAGACGTAGAACATGTAAAACATGTGATTATTAATAAATAACAAAGGGCTGGTAAATAAATTTTGCATCAAAAATTGTGTCGTTTAATTCACCATTAATGTATTTTGTTTTAATACTTTATTTGATGTTAATTTTACACTGAATTTGGTACAGATAGAACGACTCGATTACAATTTATCTTACAATATAAGCAAATAAATCGCTTAAAAGTTGGTCCAGAACTAGAGCCAGAATAGAAGAATTCTGTTAGGAAGCGAATAAAGATAAAGAAATATTTGGGTTTTAGTGTAAAATACAAAGTGTTCAATTTGGTTGTAAATTACAAGGATATAGCTGAAGAATAGCAGCTGCAGTGATATGTTCAGTACGGGTCAGTAGGAAAATATCTTTGAAGGAATTGAGTGTAAAACAGATTCCCTCATGCTATAAACTTCATATCCATTTTCATTTATAATTATGGATCGTACTTTCTAATCTCTAAACTGAAAACAAAATTTGAAACGCCGCTGTTGGTAGTTTTATTACACGATCTCCGGTGTTCAGCACGATGATCTTGAGATTTAGAATTGGATTTTCTTGTTCGAATGCTCTTCTTCGATATTTACGATCTCTTGAAACATTTTTTTTTAATTAATATATTTTTATTGAACCAATTTTTTTGCACATTGTAGCTTTTATTTTGCTATTATTACACTGTGATGTTCTGATTTTTAAATTTAAAAAAATTCATGGTTTAAATTTTAAAACCTCGAGTTAGGATAGGGGAATCAGAATATATACAGCGCAGATAGAATTAAAAGATGACGTGATTCTGTTTTGGCGCGGCAGCGTCATTTCTTGAGGATAGGTTAAATTTAGTTTTAATTTTTTAAAAGGGCAATTGTTTAAACAAAAATGAATCACACTCGAAGCCACTGTCTCTCTCGTACGAGCGTAATTAGTGTAATATCAGTTTATTAATGATTTTCTAATCTGAAATATTTGATTATTCGTCAAGGCGTCTTATTTGTGTTCATTATTTCGTAAATTCACAGTGCGTGTTAGGGTTGTGATAATCCAAACATCCCGCCTTAAATTGACATGTGAAAAAAAATCGAAAATTCAAAATTTGCCCTTCGTTGTGATCGTCTGACAAAAGGGAACCCTTGTTGTGTTTTTGAAAAATGGCGAGGTGCGTTCAGATGCAAATGGTGACCCCAAGGTTGGAAAAGTACCGCAAAATAAAAACACCAAATTTGTGGAGGACACAAAATTATTTATTCCTCCACTAACAAAAAGAAAAGAAAAAAAAAGCTGCCTGCGGTTATTAAATTAAACGTTCTGAATCAATGCAAATATTTGAAAATCACAAATTTAATAAAACCAAAGCAAAATCTGAAGTAAAGTAACTGGATGCAAATACACAAGTTCTTACGGACGTGTGGCGACAAATTTAAAATTATGCACAACAAAAATACCCATAGGGGCGTTGTAGCGCGAGCGGAGTTTGGGGCTCCTGGCCGTGGCTGTTTTTCCACTGCGACGGTGATTCTGTTCTATCGCACAGCACACCTAAATGACGGGCATGTTCGTCATTTAGGTGTGCTACCCAGGCCGTTACGATCGCAAAACTCGTGGTTGGAAGTCAGGGTTTCAGATAAGCTGACAGCGTCAAGTCGTCCAGACCGTTCCCCTGACACAGAGCCTACATCGTTTGTGCAGATGGCGCTATAAATTCCGCCAGCTCGACTAGGAACCGCGCCCTCCGCTTCTGCCACGTGTTTCTGTGTTATTTAACCTCAATTCCATTTATATGTTCAATTCTTATAACTCTGAAATTAAACTACAATTGCACAAGTGTCAAAATTTCAAAAGGGCTATAAACAACATTTAAATTCGCCATACAATCTTGGGAAATTTTAAACAACAAATAATTCTTATTTGAGAATAAGATTGGAGATCAGATCATTTATATGATGGAAACATTCATCAACAAAATATTTACATAAAAAAAAAACTAGCAAAGATTTATAAAAACAACAGATCTGGTGTGATATAAAACTTGTACAGACAAAAATATTGCGTGAGGTTAGAAACTGTGGTACGTTCAATTTAAATTATGCAACAAAGAAATTACTGAAGTTAAAATTGTGAAATAGAGAAAAATTGTATGAGGTAGATATTGCAAAGCTAACAAATTTAGATGAGATTAATATTTGGCACACTTTATCAACGATTCCAACAAAGAGTTTACATTATGTTCAATTATGCCACACTTTATCAACGATTCAAACAAAGAATTTATATGATGTTAGACTATGCCATGATCCAAGCAATTGGTTACTTAAAACAATTTGTTTTGACGGTTTATCTCGTGCACTGTTTACTCCAAACAAAACACATGATAAACAAATTGTGACGGTCCACCCTTGAAGGGAAACCGCAAAAAAAAACCGCAATAAGAAACTTCAGAACATAATTTTCTAACTCAAAGACTAAATTCGCATATTCGCAAAAAATAAGCAAATTGCGCATGTCCAATCGCGTATGTATTACCCAACCACCAGATAATTGCAAACCTATATTCGCACACCATTGAGAAGTACTCACTCAGTCAACCCTAGCTAAATACCACACCCAAGCAAAAGTGCCAAGATGGCGACAGCATGTGACGTTAACATGATAACAAGACAAAGAAGAATCCACAAAGTTGGCACGTGATTCTAACGACATTCAATTAAAAGCACAGAGGAACCAACACCAAATAAATCACATCAAATTAACTACCAAAGGCGTTACACAATAACGCAACGCAAGATAAAAGAAACATAAAACAAACCAAATCTCACGCATTACCATCAATCTATTTTGCGACTTATCAGTCTGACGAAATTCTCGGAACAACGAAACTAAGACTTATAAAACCTCTAAATAAAGCCCAAAAGGATTGAATTCTTATCAACTGACCCAAATACGGATACCACGATGCAACACGTGCACTCATAAAGATGCCACCAAAGACATAATTAATGAGAACAACGCAGTATAAAAGGGCGCAAAATCGAGAGGAAATCAAAGAAGTCGAAGAAGTCGAATCCAGTGTGCCACGAAGACGAGAAGTACCTACGACGATCGATACCCAAGTAGAGCCGTGCTGAAGCCTTGTCCAGCTGATAGTTCCTTGCCCGAAATTGCGAAGGAAGACTTAGAAAAGTTCCATGGTTTTTTGTAAGTGAAAGAATCTAAATTTAAACCGTCATGCATGTGTTATCTTGCTTCTGTGCCTTCTTCGATAATCGACTGATGTGTGATTAACCTGAACCTCCGTCATTATACGGAAAATTTAACTTGTTAAATTGGGGAATGGTCCATTACTGTCATCGAAAGGGCGAACGTTTATCATCTAAGAACTGAGGAATTATCTGAGAGATGGGTTACTAGTCTGTCGCTTAAATGCAAACGCCATTAACAAAATGATGAAGATAACGAAAGCGGTCATTGTACTCTGCGGTCCCTGTTTTAATGTGAATCTCGGAATTTTGACGAATCTTGGGGGGATTTCCGGATAACCCGTGTACCTTAATAAAAGCTTTAAGACACCCCGTAGTTAATGAATAATAATCGCGCATTTCAGAAATATGTAGTATTTTGAATTGTTATTTTTGCTCTAAGGTCCGGAAACGTCCTTCCATGATTTTGAACAGTTTCTTTTATTCTTTTTAATTTGTTTATGGAAATGCTAATCATTCCAAATTTTATTACTGCGACTTAGGATAATAGGGAATGATCCTTGTGAAAAGTACCATTTGCAAATTGGACCTCATATGTCCATGTCAGTTTAACGTCATACTTGTAATTTTTACTGCCAATTAATTTAAGTGTTATGCTAATATTTTCTTAATCAGGGATAAGGAAACAATATTTAACGGATATTTCAAATAACGTTTTCGTTTTACTTAGCTTTAAGGGGACATTGATATTTGGCCTTTTGTAGTAACGGTTGATTACCATATATTTAATTGAAGTGAATAGTAACTCTTTTAGTTTTGTTTTATCAAGTAGGTAGGGATTATTTAGCGGATGCGTCAAATGGACCCGGGTGGGTTAGGTAGTTTCGTGCTGGCCCGCTACACCCTGGGTCGTGGGTTCGATTCCCGCCCGGCTCTGGGTGTTGTGTATGTCCCCCGTTCCCCTGTAATTGGGCCTCTGGCCTGTTGGGGAACGTAATCAAATAAAATAAAAAAAAATAAAAATAAAAAATGTCGATTTTCGGTTTCGTAGCCTTAAGAATGTATTTATATTTAATCTTTGTCTGGGACTTACAATTTTTACCATTAATTCTGTTTGAATTTAGATTTAATATACTTGTTAAATGAAGACTACATTTTACTTATTACCTCTCCCTGATTGCAATTTAGCTATCCATTTCCAAGGAAATGGGCCTACACTCAAATAAATAATTTTGTTAGTGTCCATGCTTGGCCACCGATAATAACACGGATGGACACGACAAAATTCAAAAATATCCGGTGAGCGTTGTGAGGAATAAGCGTCTCGGTGATGTAATTTTCCACGTTGCGGGGAAATGCCTCGGTTATGTAATTTTCCACGTTGTGAGGAAAAGACTCGGCGGTGTGATCTTCCACGTTGCGAGGAAATGCCTCGGTGATGTAATCTTTAACGTCGCCAGGAAATAGGTCTCGGTGATGTAATCTTTAACGTTGCGAGGAAATGCCTCGGTAATGTAATGATGATAACGATGATAACTGCCTAAGGGAAGAAATTATTTTAATCCCCCGCCAGTCCACGGTATTATGAATTCCGCTTTTTACTTTTACGGTCTTTTCCCAGAGTGGGGCAACGTTAGATTGATTTAACTGACGCTAATGAACTATTAGCGATCTTGTGTGACAAATTAACTGTTGTAATATCAGATAATATTAAGTATATGCATCTAGAAACTTTATTCATAACTGTGTAAACAAAGGGGGTTATCCTGAATAATTGAATTTCATGAAATCTCCTAGTAAGTGTTTGTCTAAACAAATCTAATGTCTGTTAAATTGTGTTGAACCAGTTAACGATTAAAATCCTAACCTGATCGGTAAATTTACAAACAATAAAACAAATTTACAGCGTGTAAAGCGTCGGTCGAAAATGAGCACTTTTTCAGATTAGAAAGCCGCAAGAATTGGCTGCACGTGTTGGGGAAAACGGTGGTGTTGTCGTCGTTACGATTATACGATTAATTGTCGTTAAACAAAGGCTTCCTCCCTTTTATTAACTACCCAGCCAACTAATTAAACCTAGCTAACTTATGGCGTCTTTTCACCATGTTCTCATGAAACCAAACCAACAATGACGCTTTCACCATGCTTTCGCCATACTGCCATCTTGTCACCCACCAACCCTCCAACTAAAATCCCCCAGCGAGCTATCAACTGCCCAAAAAGCGTTAACGTGCACGTGGTTGCCTATGTTTAACGATTTTTTTAATTGATTTTTTTTTTCAAATTCAAATTATTCAAATGTGATTTCGAGCCGCTGTTAATTAATTTCAGCGCTAAATTTTGATTCAGATTCGGTCACTACAGGGTTTTTACTGCTCCTGATTCTATTACAATTTATCAACAATCAGGGGCGCTTGAAAGAGGAAATTTTACTTCATTTAAAAACGTATAAAATTTGATTCTGGTGTACATACCACAGCTACTGGTATTTGAAAGAATCTTGAGGATCTTTCTCTGTACTAATTTTGAAGCAATTTGAAAGAATCTGACCACTTGTGTTTTGATTTTGAAGTGGTTTGAAAGAATCTTTGGGACCCCATGTGGGTCTTGTTTTTGAAGTAATTTGAAAAAATCTTGGGGACTCCTTGGGTTTTATTTTTGAACTTAGTTTAAAAGAATCTCAGGGAGCTCCTGTGTCTGGTTTGTGAAGAAGTTTGAAAGAACTTTGGGATCCTTGTGGGTTTTGTTTTTAAAGTAATCTGAAAGTATCTTGGAGTTCCGTGATCATGGACAAATAGGACTTGCTGAACCAGCGCGGGAAAATTTTGACTTCATTTAAAAGTATGTAAAATTTGGGTGCACCTTTGGATATTTCCCATTTTCAGATGGTTCCAGCTGCCCCTAACAACAATAACAGAAAATGTTCATGTAAAACAAGAAACAAGGCTAGGTTCAATTTAATTATTTTCGCACAGCTTGAGTTTGAACATTTATTCCCCAATTATTATTTTAATTTTGACTGTACTAATATGTGCCACGTTGTGTTTATTTCATATGTTTTACGTGTGGTGTGGATTTGTTGTCACGACGTAATTAATCTTGATTTTTTGCTATCGTCAAAATTCTGGAGTTTTTAACTTTAATCAGAATCACGAAATCGCGTAGCGGGGGCGCGGTGATACACATTCACTGCATCCAGTTACTTTATTGACGATTTCTTTCTTTTTTTGTTTGTTCAAATTTGTAATATTCAAATATTTGCATCGATTTGTAACTTTTGTTTCTATTTTATCCTCATTTATAGGTCGGTAATTGTCACAAAGTGTATTTTTTGAGACGTTGTTTGAGCTGCCCATTATGCCTAGAGTGAGAAGACAAGCAAATTCCTAGCAAATGACCGCATTTGGAGAGGGTGAATAGTGGGTTTAACAGAAGCCGGTTGTTTCTTTAGAGATATCGCTACTAGACTAGGATCAACAGAAATCTAGAAACTGTGGTGCGTTGTTGTCAACTATGGGCGCAAAAAGGCCGAACAAGCAGAGTCAGGGCCACACGTCTTAGACTTTTGCCTCTAAGGGACCACTTTACTTCCACAAGAGCGATTGCGAACCAGTGGGTCACAGAACATGGAAGGCTCGCTGGTATGCGTACCGTTTATCGCCGAATTTGAAGTTTTGGACTGATCTCATATCGTCCTCATTTCGTGTTACCCTTCACTCGTGAACGTCAAGGTAACCGACAAGCCTCCAGGTACATTCGTATTCCGCGACTCCAATTCATTCCCTGGAGCTTTCGGCATGGGCTTAGTGGAGTAGAGAACGACTGCACGGAAACCAGGAATGGATTTCAGGCGTCTTTAGTGACGAATCCAGATTCTGTTTGAGGATGCGTGATGCCGGGCAAGGGTACGAAGGCGACGTGGTGAAAGGCATGTGCACTGCACAGTTGGGATTATGGTATGGGGAGCAGTTGCCTATGGAAGTCGGTCTCCTCTGCTTTTTATCAGAAGCAATATGACGGCCCAGCGTTATATCCATGAAGTAGTGGGAGCTCATATTCTACCCTACCTTAGGACTCTGCGAAATACTCTTTTGCAACAAGACAATGCGCAACCACATGTAGCCAGAGCAACATTGGCATCCTTGGAACAAAACTGCGTCAATCTGTTGTCTTTGTGACCTCGATGTCCAGATCCATAAACTCTCGGGGACTCTCATCATGAGGTACAGGTACCCTGAGATGCTACACCTCAGCAGACGTGTTACTGAGTGCGTAACAGACCGTGAAGGTCCTACATACTATTGATGTTTCCTTGCATAATGACCGTTTGATTCACTTCAAATTTTGATCATTTAGTTACTTCCATTGTAATAACCACGTATATCAAAAATTATTATAATATGCTTTCCGCGTCACTTACTTCGGTTACTTGCACAACCGCATCTAGGGAGAACAGTGTTACAGTACCACTGAACATGCGTACATAGGAGGGATTTTGGGGAAGGTAAATAAATACAAACCACAAATTTAATATTAGTATTTCTATTTCGTTCTAGATACAATCTGTTATATCTTTTACAATAGTATGGCATTTTGATTTATCTTTAGATTTGATTAGGACATTTTGATGAGTTAAACTATCTTTGTACTATTACAACAAGAACCGAAAATAGAATGCTCGAGGACCCGATGGGGCACATTTTCTTTTAAAACTATTGTTATTATCGCGTAATAAGCTTTGTTATTTATATATGGACTCTAAATTAACTCTAAATAATTTTTACAATTTAGGATCTCGTTACCCTGCTTTCTAATATTTTGATAAAGTTACATTGTTAGCGTGAAATGGGGGAAAATGAAGATGAAAAAACAAAATAATTATTTGTCATTCACAGCAAAGTATAAAATAAAAAATACTCCACCGATACCTTGCAAATAATTATTTACTTGAAATTCGATTTCGCTAACACTTTTTGTTAATTTTTCATAACAAAATCAAGGCTCAGTAGAATGTTTCGTGTAAAGTTAGTGAACATGCAAATATTCACAATATTTAAAGCACTTCACTTTCAAATTAAAAAAAATGTTTAAAAAATAAAATAAGGCAGGCACACTTAGTGTTACTTAACATATATTTACAATATATCATATTAAATATAAATTACTTGAAAGATATAAACTTAGGGCTACGCAAATTATGAAATAAAGACTAGTTAATGAAATTTAGCGGCATTCTTTTGGAAGTATTACGAAACCTTTTAAGTATTTTCCAATACTGTGTGATAATTTAACTACAAAATGTGATGTGATATTTACTCCTCCTTGAAAAACTGGCGTAAAATTACACAATGTTGGGCTTAATGCCACTCGACGTAAGAACTTTATTTACGAAGTTCGCAATTGCTACAGCTGGTTGTTCGGGTTCTAATTCAGCGAACAAATGGCACTGATTGTCGGGATTACTCACGTTGGGTTTTCTCGCAATGAATCCGAAGACCCGACTGGAAAAAAGCGGCTGTTAGAACGAACAAAACCAAGAAATAAAGACTTACTTAGGACTGGCCGTTGACCCCGACTCATCAGAGCTCACGCTCCATCTTCGTTCTTCTGGATCTAAGCCACAATGAGAAATCGTGTTGATTGGATAATGCCTCCTGAAGAACAATTTCCGCTTGTTATCAGTCAAAGTAATGCCTTGTCCGTTAACTTTGAAATGCACAATCGCCGTTTCTGCCTTAGACGACTTTTGTAAAGCTTGATTAACTGCCTTTCTTACGGCTTCGGGACCCGTCAGCGATTCCATGTCCAACGTAAACAAGTACATCACGTTGCAAGCCGCACCTTGCGTTAGTAGCTGTTGAGCAGGGTTGTTGGCACTGTCTTGGTACTTCAGGTCACCTTCCGGCAGAATCAACCGACAAGGAAGAGCCAGAGGCGTCACCGAATGCTGGTAGACCAACGCGGACAAAGAACTGAAGACGGGCTCAGAAGGGCATCCCTTGAGCTTGACGCCTCGAGAAGTTGGCTCGATTAGGAAGTGGCGAATTAGCTCATCCCCTTGGATGGGCTTGTTCTGCATGTTCGATGGAATTGTTGCAACTTTTAAGGCCATGCCGAAAGCTCCAGGGAATGAATTGGAGTCGCGGACCACGAATGTACCTGGAGGCTGATCCCTCAACATATTGATTGCTGGAATTGACTCAATTAGTATTGGATTGGTTTGAAAGAATTTACTAGTACCTTCTTCTCGTGAGATTGTTGGCTTGTACCAGTACTTGGAGGTATCTCGGACGAATTTAACATGGGCTGCTGATACCTCATGTGGGGGTTCACTGTTCGAATGCACTGAGCTTCTTCTAGAGTTGCCAAAGTAGACGGTAGGCGACGCGGATCCGTTTCTTGTGGGACTTTTAGGACTGTGTTGATAGTTCTCCGAGAAGTTGTCTTTGTATCCTGCTGGTGGCGTCGCCGATACGCTTCTATGTGTGGTACTGTGGATGTATTCGGACGAAGAGCCGTTGATCATGTCTGTCGGAGAAGTCGGTCGGTCCTTTCTACAGCGACAAAAAGAAATTGTAAACAAAGAAAAAACAACGCGCTGACATGCTGCTGCAATATCATGTGCGAAAAAGTGCATTCCAGAGTATGTACTTTGTTATGAGTTCCAGCTTTCCAGACACGTAATTTGTTTAGACGTATTTTTAAACCAATGTATTTAGTCTGGGAAGTTGGTAAACATTTAACACTTATAAGCATGTTTTTAAGTCTGTGCTGACATTCAAAATGTGTTCGAGAATTTCCAAGACAGTACAACAAATGTGAATTCTAAAGATTTTTCTGGCCTAAAATTAGTACGAAAACCGTTTCACAGTTCTTTTCTCCTGTTCATGTTGCAGTTATTGACGGGAGTTTGAACAGACAGTGAAAAAATGTATGACATGCTTCATGGCAACATGAAAGTACTTTACCTTTCAGGAGAAAGCGACCACTTCTTAGTAAGTTTATTAGAAGACGGACAACTCAAACGTCTAAAATAAAAGGAACTCAAAGTCAGGAGACAACAAAAATTTTTCTTGTGATAAATAAAAATGTCGCTTTTTATCTTCTGTAATGCTACATGTTTAGCCATAGTTCCTTATTCTCGATACTTCGTTAGAAATTGTGTTAACTTGTGTGTAACTTACCGCTGGGTTGTAGGACTTTTAGGCGGTAATCGTTCGGAAGGTAGGTCGAATTGGACTGTCGGCGTCGATGGATTAGTATAAGGGGTTCTAACATGCACTGGAAACGCTGGTGTTTGCGGCCTCGGAGACGAATTATGTGAAGGGCTTGTATCTACATCATTTACGGACTGGGAACGCCAAGTGTGGGTTTCTTCTCGATACTACAAGACAAACTAAATTAGCCACCCAATCATTCCAAACGTTCACATAACAAAAGCAAATGACTGTCGAAATCGTATCGAACACCATGCAAAAAGCCCTGATCAAATAGTCACAAAATAAACAAGAAAATAAATAAAAATATGACGTGTTAGTACCTGCCATGCAGATGTGGTGTTATTAGGGCTGTTGCTAGACTTATCCGAACCACTTGATAAGCTAGCAATCAGATCACTGAGTGCATCTATGCCTATGCTATCATTCCTGATATCTGCTGGTGAACTATCAACACTAGAGTCATTCTCAATACCCACCAAACCCCCCTGGTTATAGCGGGGACTATGTTTGTTATACTGCTCCTGCTCGACTAGAGACAACAACCCGCTGTCAACCGTATCGCCACCTCTAGAAGGTGGTCTTACAATCTGCCCCATCGGATTTGCTGCTAATATCGAGGCCGGCGAAGAATCTGAGCTCTGGAAGGACCATTGTTATTCGGTTACGTGTTAATAATGGTGTGAGTGGTGAAGAAACAACACCTAGACATGTTATACAATCTTTACCTGAGCGTATCTCTCGTGGGCCCTCTTCACCGTCATGAACGGTCTCTCGTTTTTACTGGTATACGATGAGGCTTTACTTGCACTGTACGTCCTCGATAGCATCCTAGGCGAACCTGGAGCTGCGCTCCCTGGTTTCTGGGTGGTATTGATGTGGAGAGGTATCGTGTAGTCTTCGTCATCGTCAGCAAAGGCGGTGGTGTCACTAGTGTAACCATCCAGACGATGACTGGCTGTTGGTTTCATATGACGAGACTGGACATGTCTCAGTTCTGACAACAGTCTAGTTTCATGGGGGTGTCTTTCTTCGCGCAGCTGCACCTCTCGACGTTCTTTTAGTTTCAGCTGCTGCTTCTGGAGCCACGTTAGGCTTTTGTTTGTGGTGTAGCTGGAACGAAGGGTTAATTTGTTAAGCGGAAAAGGGCGGACACAAAATAAAGGTTCTACTTTTAAATTTATTTTTCGCAAAGAAATGAAGATGGGCGTGTGAAACTCAAGGTTGTTTGTTTAAATTGGTCAGGGATGTAGGTATCTGTGTTGCTCGTAGCAATTGTTTTCAGGTTGTTTACCTTTAAATAGTATAAATGTCTGTAACGTAACGATTAGCTTGCACTTCTTAAGCGAATACGTTATTTTAACCCTGATTTGATGCGATGCGCGGTTTAATTTATTTCGAAGGGCTGATTTCGCGTTAAAGTGCGATGAGCCAACAAGTTCTTTTTTTAAAGCTGGCGAAACCATAAATACAAACACTCTTACAGCGTTTAATGAAGTTTAATGAGCCAATTGCTATTTATACCTCTGAGTTGTATAGCAGATTTACCGTTTATAGTTTCATCAGAGATTGTTAGCGTTGCCGGAACATTCTTTTGGAGAGAAACTTGTAATTTTTTCGCATCTCAATGCAGTTTCCATTTTCTCCTCATTTCCCAAGATGGCTCGATACCGCCTTCAGAATTGCCCATAATTTAATATTTACTCTTTATCTTAGAAAGTCTGGGCTGAATCTCCCGAAACAATAGCCGCGTTTGTGGTATCGGGCACCCACTCACCCACATTATATTCCGAGCCAAGTACTTAAATGTTATTTTGATGAAGAAAGATTGCCATTAAGACGCCTTAATCGACCTTCGTAGTTTTTTCGGATCGTGATCTAAACTCACATACGTGTAGTAAAAATTCAATAAGGTTGGGGTTAACGAGTTTCGGCCGTCATTCTTCGGTAACCATATTACGCTGCAACTGTAACTTTTTTGTAGCGAGGTCGGTCTACTCGTCTTTCCAAATTAAGAAAATACCTCCCAAGAATGTTACGAGGAGCTACCGAGTTCAACGACACATCTAACATTTACCTGTTGTTTATTCCTGTAACTGAGAGAGTCTGAATCGTGTTGATATACATTATCAGGACAAAATCATAGCTTTGGTTTCGGATAAATCGTTTGATGGGAGCCCCTGGGGTCCCCTCGTTAGCACGAACGAAAAGATACATGGAAGCTCCAGGCGATAGCATGTTAAGTCTCGATAAAAACGAAAGTTATGGGAGAAATTTGCAAAGCTGACGTCACAGGGTCGTTTGAATAAGCGAAGATTGGAAGAATCGTTACCGGTGCTCGATTTGTCGAGGAGCAGGTGCTATGCTCGGTATGAATTATAATTGTAAATTTAATGAAAATGCGTGCACAGTAGCGAGATGAAGACATCAAGCATCTGGTGAATCAGCTGTGGAGTAAAATTACATAATTGTTTAATCAACACAATAACTTAATCGTTCGTTAATTGGCCGGATAGATTACAACGTCGATCGAATGAATGGAAGGCGATTTTATTTCCAAATAATTTCGACCATACGCCCACGCAGACGAGAAAATTACTGACCCTACCTACGAGCGGGCCCACGTAAGAATTTTATATCACTGCGATAAGAAAAAAAAGAAAACACTGTGTTTGCGTCATCCCATTTGTTTACTGGTTTTATGCAGACGAGGTTCACTCCTGACCATATAGGTCCAGGAGCGATTTGTCAACGCAGGAGCTCCAGAAACGATCAGATCGCAACCGCTAGCTGGGACTATTACCATAATAGTGATAAATTAGCGACTTCACTTCAAACATTGTATAACCCTGTCATAATGTTTCCGACATCAATCTCGTGATTCATAAGGCACCGTGCCAAAATTTTACTTGATCTAAATATAATTATCTTTGAAACGGATGAAAGGAAAAGGTTGGCTAATCTCTTTCATTATAGCCTTGATCTTATAGTGAATGAGCGTGAATGTCGATTCTGAAAACTCCGTTACTGAGAATATTACCGCGACTTTTGACCACATGCAGGTATTTGTGTAAACACATTAATGGTTCCGCCGAGACCCCTATAAGGAAGTCGTACGCATGCCATTCATCCGAGGATTATCTGTATTATAAACGATACTTTCATGACCATTTTCGATGCGAGCACGTATCCTTTTATTAAAGCCTTCGAAGCCGCGTTTACATAAATGATCGGCCAGAAAAATGAAAAACAACCGCAAATGACAGCCGATGCTTGAAAAGTATGGAACCAAGAATGCAGCAAGGCTATCGACGAGGTATAAGAAGTAGGTTAAAATGCACATGGTTGCAAAAATGCTAATAATAACCTTATGCAGACACATTACTCACTTATGGGTAGAGGAACGTGTTAACAGAGTAGTTAAGTGCGTCGTAAATCTCCAGACGGAGGCTAGTTTGCCGGGATTTATTAGGAAATTCGCTGTTTTTGGCGAACATATGGCGATCAAGGCACGGGAAGTTCAAGGATAAACATAGAATATTCATTATCATTACGCGTGGCTGCGAGCATTCGGAAATTTAACTTCGCCGCAAGACGACCTGGGAACGATGCGGGAAAAACAACCGCGGGATGAGAGGACCACAGAAGTAATTAACTCAAAGGCAAGTCCACAAAGTTTGACAACTGAACCCATTTTGATAAGTAGTTTAAAGAGGCGTCACCGACAAACTACTTAAACACTACACTGTTAGTTGAGTAAGAAGGCTTGGCACTGTTATAACACGAAAAACTAGTCCTTAGGTAAACGGGTGACATCTAAAAGCGGGTACCACATAAGTGTATCTTCTTTTTGTATGATTGAAAATACAACAAAGTTATTAATAGAAGTTGTAGATAATTACATTATCTTCAAAAATGCTTCTTGCAATTGTTTCGTCCAACTCACGATTACTAAAATAAATTAAAAAAACTATTATTGTAGCCCATTTTCAAGATGGCGCCCCCCCCCCAATCCCAAAAACTTAGTTTCACATTTCCCAAAAAAATATTTTTTCTGCTTGTTGACCAACATGTCCGTCTTTAAAAACATCCAACCTTTCTTTCTAAGAAGTGACTTCGGAACTTTCTAAACAACCGTAATTTAAAATGAGTATTGTAATTTAAAAATTCAGTTTCCTTTCCTCTGTAAAAGGAGTTGTGCTTTTATGGTAGCTAATGAAACTAATCGACGGATCGTTGCGACATCGTGAGAACGTTCCTACTACGCTAACAGGGAAAACCCACAAATTCTCCGCTCGTGGGCTCTCAAGCAACTTCCGCTAATATTAAAAATAAAAAACTTACGACTCATGGAACTCTGGCGACTTCGTGGAAGACCTGAACGCTCCAGGCGGCGACAAACTTTCCGAATCCGAATAGGGACTCGTCGCCACCGAAGCCTTATAGTCATTCTTGTCGTGCCCCGTCCTCAACGTCCCCTCCGTGACGCTCCTCTTCAGAGGTGTGTACCTCTTCACCTCATCCCTGTAGTACTCCTCTCTGAACTCGCGCTTGATGGGTTCGGTAGCACTCAGCGCACTTGGGGTGAAGATATCATCGATGGGGTCCCTCTCCCGGCGCCGCAGCGAGTCCCCATGCGCCCCGTACGAGTTAGCCGGATACTTCGACAGCGTGCTGTAGTTGGAGGGCGGGTGATACGTGGGTGGGTTGGAGAAGTTGGGCACCGGTTTCCCTCCGAAGTCCGGATACACCTGCGTCTGCACCTTCTTCAGCGTGTCCCCCGAGCTCTTGTTGACGCTGGCCTTGCGCACCAGGCTGGGGCTGCTCAGCCCCTTGGAGTCGGCGATCATGCTGTTGGAGTTCACTCCGTAGGAAAAAGGCCGGCTGTCCTGGCGCGCGTGGTAGGGGATGTTCTTGTCGTCCTCCTCGTCTATGTAGCGCACATTCTCGAGCCCGAAGCTGTTGCCGCTGGTCGCGATTGCGGAGCCCGAGGACTGGTCCTGGTGATGCGGTTTCAGGTCGGGAATGCTCTGAACCGTTAACATCATATCCGAGACGAGTTCGTCCAGCTCGCGGTGCTGATCCTCGGGGGTCAAGGGGGACGGCTGGGCGGTTAGTGGGGGACTCGCGGAGGCGGTTGTGTTGGCGTTCTGCTGGTGTCCTGCCGCCGACAAACAAATATTAGCGAGCTGACAACTACCAAACAACTGGGGCCAAATAAAGAGGTGATAAAAGGCGATTTATGGCCGCTGCAGCGACCAACGATCGGGGAAAAACAGACGATTTTGGCTGCACCCAAGTGGACGGAGTTCCTGCGGCGGCTTAAGGAACATAAGTCCTTAACGGGAAACGAGAACGCGAGGCTCGAAAGCTATTTTTTTCCTACGCAACTAATCAATTGCCTTGTATGCATACGGGTCATTCCATAAAATAGCGACAAATTGTGTACTGAATCAACGTGGTTTTTCTCGGAATTGGTGCCAACAGTTTTGAACAGCGTAACAAGGCTTATTAATTAGAGATATTTATTTGTTCCTGGAACGGTTCAGTGTAGTTGGTTATTTACCGGTCTCCAAAAGACAGTTACTTCGAATTTTTAACAATTTAAAGCAAATACTGTTTTATATAACTTACTTGTTAATCTCTTGTTTTTACATTTTAATGTGTTTTCATAGTCATCGTTTGTTAATTCACTGTTTTCTGGAGGTACTTCCATTGATTTGAAAGATCACACACTACCTGCATTTGTAGTAACAGTGCCACAATTATCTATAATCCATGATATCGTTTTCTTGATAAATCAGATATATTTTTTATGGAATTTTGAAGTCAGGGACACTTGTAAACACTTGAGGTACAAATTTTTTTCTAAAAAATTCAAGGTTTAGTTATTTTAGAATGAAAATTATCTCTTGCTAGAAATATTCAAATAATATTGTAGTTATGGAACTTCTCGATTACCTCAGCTTCGTATTAAACATTATCGAAATTAACCCTAAGCTACAGTTAAATACTTTTTCACTCCGTCATTTCAATTTAGTTTTGTACAGACGGAAACGGAAGACCTATTTTTTCATTCTCACAATACTTGATTAGCCTTGATGTGGCTGTTCAAAACTATTATAAACACTTGTCAATCTGCACAATAAGTAACCGTCTATCAAAGTACACAATTTATGACACGGTAACATCACTTTTTCACTTGGGTGGGTCATGATAGGTGAGAATTCGATGCTGCAGGATCACGTACCTGCAGATGAAATACCTGAGTCCATGGACACCGTCAGGGGACTAGAAACGGCGCCAGGAGACAGCTCTGGCTTTTTTGCGATGGTTGCGTAAATGCTACCGTCTAGAGGTCCAAACGTGTGATTGACGTCGTCTGCAACAAAGATAACAAATTAGTGTAAAAATATCGCGACTCTATTAAAAACGGGAAACCGCGAGCGTGTTGACGTAATGACTAATTAGATGTTGTTTAAGGATATGCAGGTAATAACGTAAAACAAAGAATATGTTGAACACCTGAGGCGATTTGAATTACGAACACTTTGAAGTGACCGCGAGCATTCCGTCCACCACACATAATAGCCGGTCATTTCTTATACAAATCGTGTAAGGCATTAATTATCTAATTTGCAAGTTAAATAAACATTTTTTAAAGAGGAGTTTAGTTCTACTTATTGTTAGATTGCAATTTATAGCAGATCTTGAGGCAGTCCATCAACTGTAATTAAAAACAATTTATTGCATGCAACAAGAGATTGCTACTCTCTGATGCTCGGTAGTAAAAATGAGCTTTAATCGCTTCCCTTTTGTGGCTGTCAGGGCTGCTGTTCAGCTACTTAGTTAATTAGAAGCTAAAATAGCGAATAATTTAGCCAACTTTGATAGATGATGTTGGTATAGTAGACTCGCTACCGTGTGAGTGAATATATTAAATCACCAAAGGACAGGTTTCACTAATGTGTCAAAAACAACAATATTTTTATCTGTGTTATTAAATACGACAAAATATTCCACTTTTTTCACTAACTATTAGTGAATCCAGATCTGAAAACGCTTCCACTTACAAGTCAAAATGTTTATATACAAAAACTTGAACCATTTAAATACAGCTTCTATGCTGTAATCGAGAGAAAAACCACACTATTTCCATTGCGCGGAATTACATAAATATTAATGAGTATCTTATCATAGTGGTCTAAAAATAGCCCGATCACAACTCTGATTAGCCGATGAAATTACCAGGTGGATATTTCAGCCTCCCTCAAACCAGTTCAAGGTGGGTAGGAATATCATTTTAGGATTGTCGTCTGGACAAAAGACTTCCATTTGAAGAAAACAAGCCATGATTAATATCTCGCCACGCCGTATAAACTGTTTCCAAACTTAGCGTAATTAATCGGTAATAGTGAGTCATACAGGAGGAATAATCAATTACTCGGAATTCCACGCTCTTCATTCCAGAAACATCAGCAACCAAACACAAGAGGTGAAATAAAACAGATTCGATCTCGGTGTGTTAACCTCCGCGATGACCGGCAAAGATTAAAATATAACCGAAGTGTTGAGCGCGCCTCCATAAAAGGTAATCAATTAGCAAGTGGGAACATGTTGGGGCCTATCAATTTTCGTGGCCTTGATATGCAAATGTATCACAATCAGTGTCAATATTTCGAGAGTAGCCGGCAACCTTAACGTAAATCCGAGCGATTTGTTGCGAGAGCAACGTTGCCAGGAAGTATGGAGTTTTCTCAATAAATAACCAAGACTCCTCAAAAATGGGGATAAATACTTGGTCCGGTTTGAAATTTCCTAGACATGGAATAGGTGACCCTTCAAGTACAAGATCAACGTTTTGGACCCTATGGTGATTGAATCAAGGGATAGTTATGAGAAAGAATATAGATCAGTTTTTCCATCGAAGTTGCTAGTTGATCTAAAAAGTGTCAGAATTGAGTCAGTGAATGAAACTTTATCATTTAAATAAAATTTCCCCATGTGAGGCGATTTTCTCTGGGCTGGCAACGCTGGCGAGTCGCTCCTCCGGAACCCGGTGGAGTGGACTGTAGTGGGTAAGTGTGCTGAAAAAACCTTTGCACCAGTTCTCCCACACGAAACGATTTATTTTGCCGTATAGAGCGGTGCGAATTATTGCAATCGGTACACATAAACGTAGCATATATGGGCAATTATGGTTGATGGTAACGGCGCAATCCGATGCCGTTTACGCACAAAGCGAAGGACAATAAGATCGTTAGAAATGGTTAGTTTATTATTTTCCGGGTCGGTTCATACAGTGAAGGGATCTGATCATTGCATGTGCTGTTCGAGTCTTGAAATAATAGCTTTGCACATATGAAGTAGTTTGAAGATTTCTGCTAATGGCTATGGATACAAGATTGTTTCACACTGTTTTTTATCTTCTGGGAGATACAAAGTTTGATGCTATTTAATTATTAATAATTCTTAATAACTAATAATTTTCTTTAAAAAAACTTTCATACATAATATTTTTGACTTTTTGCGTTAGTATTAAGTGGCTCCTTAATTAATTAATTAATCAATTGAAAAACTAAGTTGTCTCGAATCACAGTACTTTCTAAGATATTAATGCAATATACTATAGCGCGTATTAACTCAAATTTACTGCAAATAAACTAACCGGCTATACTTAGATAATATTTTTAGAAAATTTCAACTAGGATCTCATTTTATTTATGTTTCTATTATAATAGTCATTTGGGGCACAAGACCGAAAAGTGCATGCTTGCCAGTCACCACATTAAATTGACTCCTAAACCATACAACGGATTGATCATGACCAAAGTATATCAAAAAAGCCATCCCTTCTGTTCTGATGGATCCACCATGTCCAAATTATGTCAAAAAACTCACGTTCTGATGGACCGATCGAAGTGAAATCCGCAAGGAAAGCACCCTAGAAGCTCAAAAGAAAAAGCAGTCAACTCCTGCGCAAAAAAATCACCCCCTAAAAGAGTTTGATGACCTCATCATGTCCAAAGTGAGCCGAAAACTCACCTCTAAAACGATCTGATGGAACAATCGAAGAACAGTATTTATGTTAAAAGAAAATTAAATTTGATCGATTTTGTTTTCTCGACATAGAATAGAGGTCTAATTAAGCACACTTGGTTTCTTTCAGAAAAAGTTGAAGAAAATTGATATAGCAAAATTGTACAACGACCTTATTATTAAGGGGGAGAGGGATAAACGGATAACCTTACAATGTTTACAAAATTTCAGAGCAAAAGCTAAACACGGGTTCATAAACCACAAGTGCAGGGTATCTTATTCTATAGCAAATTTTGGAGATGACGTCATCCCATTATTGTTGGGGATGATTAGACATTTCTAACATATATTTACAAAACACAGACGACAGATGACAGACAGACGGAAAGGGGAGATCTATTTTTTCGAACTCTAGGGGTCATAAAACGTCGAAAACACAAGAAACAGGAAACGCGGTCGTCACCTGCAAAAAAAACCACCCCTCAACGCATTTTGGTGCCAGAAGTGAGCCAGAAAACCGCAAACTCACCCTTCAAAACATTCTGATAGACAGATCGAGTCACAGTTAGACAGAAATTCACCCCCAAAGAAAAAATCGTTTGTCACCTGCATCAATAATCCAGAAAACTCACCCCCAAAACATTCCAATGGACTGGCCATGGCTGCAGCCAGTCAAAAAGCTCACCCCAAAAATGTTTAGAATATTTATGTGGATATTGCGAAGCCGAGACGTTAGTCGAGGCAAAACAACACGAGTAATAGAAAAAACCTATTAGGGACGTATGTTTCACCAAATTTTGTGGGCAGGCATGCATTTAAATTTGTTTAAAACATAAAATGCTAATAAATTATTTCAGCAAAAATGAATCAAAACACCGATCGAAGACATTTTTTTAAGTTAATATCATTAAAAGTGAACATTTGTGTTATAAAAAAATAGGTTAATACTCTAAAAATCAAGTACCTACATTAAATACTACAGAAATGAAATGAAAGTCGATGCAGTTCGCCAGTAATAAAACAAATCAAGTTTGGTGACATTTTTGGAGCCCTATTGAAATACAAAAGTGGTTATTTCAGACTGCCCTTCAGTTTTCCACAGAATGGGCACAATGGGATCGAGGGATGTTGGGTCACTCGTGCGCCACGGTCAGGATCCTTGGGGGTAAATTCGCGATTACAAAGGTTATCATTATACAGGTATCTAGGTGATAAGAAACCTCCTACACTTCCACGATTTTCATATCAAGTCTGGTAGTACAGGGATAAAAATATCAGTAGATCTACTTTTACAGTCTTTCTTATATATTTGTAAAAAAATACCATCATTTCTCAAGTACCTATTAGTAGAAAATTTAAGAGTAGTAAAAATATTTGACAATATATCGACGTTGTATAAGTTAATTCATAGTGAATTTTATTCGAAGTAAAAGTCAGACAAAATCTTCGTATTACTAACAAAATATTCGAAATTATCCGGCGTTTAAAAGAATGAAAACTATTCGGACAATTATCTACCAATTGGCAAATCTGACTGCGACATTCAACAACTGTTTATGGTATTAATCATTCAAATTATATGCAAATCTTTTTGACCGCTGCGTGCAACTGTCCCTTACCCCTCATGCAGTTTGCCTGCAACTCTCCAGTGGGATTAGGACCACCTGCAGATATTTCTGAGGCGGGTGCGCAATTGACCCAAACCGAGGCCCACAAAATTAAATCAACGCCAGAACTGAAAAATTTTAGATTTAATTAATTACTTCAAAGTTCCTTCTTGCAAAAAATGTAACCCTGTACAACACGTGTTTTGAATTCTGTTTCCACGTTACGTTCTGTGTGTTTAAAAAATATATTTTAAAATGTAGTTTAAAAACTACCCAAAATTACTTTAATCATTTTCTTTTGGAATTCAAGCATTCTTCATTCGTATTAAAACATATTTTTCTATCTAACGCTGGAATAAATTGATTTATTCGACCCGATAAAAACTGACGAAATTTCAAATTTATATTTACAAAAAAAGTATAATTTTTAAGATAAATCGTTGATTTTATAAGTAACAGTAGACCCATCGTACTAAACTATATTTGAGAATGTCACTTGACGATGAGCCTCTTCATGTATTGTCCCTAGAAGTTTTTTCAACAATTGCAACAGTAGGTCAACAGCTATTAGTCGCAGAACATCTTTGTCCCATTTGGCTTTGTGTAAACAAACAAACCAAAATCTTCAAAAACGAAACAATATTGTTGCTAATAACGAACTCTGGTTTATTAAACTTAGTTGTAAGACAGTTCTTACTCAGAAGATGAGGCACAACGGATAACAGAAATAGATAAG